ACAGACAGACAGACAGACAGACAGACAGACAGACAGACACTCAGAGAGACAGAAAAAGGGAGAGAGAGACAGAGAGATACATGTAATAATAACACATTGTGCAGTTCGAGATAACAGCCACACGCAGAGCTCATGAACTGTTAGGAAGCCGAAAAGTTGAGATATTTCAAGCAACATCCTCATTCATACCGGTTAAATCATCAAAGTTTTTAATTGGTGAAAAGTCGCCATATTCTACCAACTGAATAGAGAAAGAGACGAAAAGGTTCATATAAGGTGGGGCGATACCATTAAATGGCACTGACAGAAACTGGAAATTTGTCTTATTGTTTTGATTTAATTTCTTTGGCAAGAAGAGCGTGTAACGCTGATTCAATGTGTATAAACTTCAGGAAACATAACAATCTTACGCATGCCAAGCACACTGGGTAAGCAGCAACAACATAGCATGATTTTTCTTTTCATAGTCTGTGTCCCACTCTAATTGTGTATCAGCCAAATTAGGTCAAACAAGGGTTGATTTAAAAAAAAAAAAGAAAAGTATTTTCTTTCTTTATACCTTCCTGAGCTACTCAAAATAATGTGGGTTTGTTTTTTTTAATAATAAAAAAAAAATTTTAATAAAAAAAATAATGAAGGTGATTTTACACCCCCATTGACACAATTTGGAACATTAGAGAAGCGGGTTCCGGACCCTGCCTGTGAGGGCCAACCCAGATTGAGGAGAGAGAAATAACATCCCAGTCCCAGCAGAAAGACGAAGACACTTGATTAAAAATTCTCCCTACTCGAGAATCGAACTCGGGTCTCCTGCGTGCGACAGCAAACCGCCTAACCGCTACATCACAGACACTGATTGACAAACAATTAAGGTTTAAATTTCGTAGCAAATTCTATCTCAATTTTTTTAACACTACAGTCAAACCTGTGTAAGAAGGAATCACAAGGGAGCCAGAAAAAAATTCCGCCTTAGACAGGGGAGTTGGGGGGGGGTAATGGCCCAGCTTGTGGGATCAAGGATCGCCTGTCCGGTCGGCAAGCAGTGGTCAAAATTTCACACTTCTCAACAGCTATCCTCTCGGATAATGACATGCGTCAGACTTACATCCAATTGCGTGCCTTAAAAATAATCGTGGGTTCTGGGATAACATGTTTTTGGTGTTGTAAAAAAATGCCAATTCTAACATTACAATGACAAACTATTTACTAACATTACTTCATTTAACAGCTTTCAGTTGAGGCTATTATTTTTAAAAACATACTAATCAGGCAAGTGAATTCCTTTCTGAATTTAGATACACTTGACTAGGGTTTGGGTGAAGATTAAAAATACAGTAGCCTCCACCTAAATGCATGGTGCTCGGGAGGGCTCCTTAGCGTGTGTTTACACGGAGCGTGCATTTACATAAACCTTTGCAAAGGGAGGAAGGGACGCAGTCATCTCAATTCCTTATTATTCTAGTGACCTCCCTTGGAGGGAGGGGGTCATTTTGGCAGATAATGTGATGGCAAGTGACTGTTTTGTGAAGGATTCCCCGACTTGGGTTAGGAATACATGTACAAAGGCGTTGAATGGGGGAGGGTGGGGGGAGAAAGACAGACTTAATGTAATAAATTATATTATTATAATGCACTATAAACCTTGGGAACAGATAGCGTAGGAGGAAATTGTTGGCGATAGTCATAGAAACGACAGCCCAGCTACGTTGTTTTCCAAGCGACCACCTCCGACCATTAATTCACGCAGAATCATTCTCTACCTTCAGAGAAACATTTCTCTTGTGATTCGTTGAACAAGTACGTATAAGTTCTTTGAGCGCAGCTGATTAGGCTTACTTGTTTAATCTTTTATCCTGTCTAGTTCTAGAATCAAGTGTTTTACGGCATTTACGCGCATCGCGCATCAGTCCTAGATCTAAGTAAACATTACTAGCAGTCATTCAAACACCAGGCAGAAACCTTCTCTCAAAGATACATTTCCAGCGACCAATCAAAAAAAATTTCAGTCCCCTCAACATTTCACCGACCAGACCTGGATCTATGTGTCTGTGGAAAGTTGGATGTGAAAACGCTGTCCATCACTCTTTTTTAGGCTTGTCTTATATATGTAGATTGTAGTGAAAATTTCCCCTTGTCAAGCTTTACCTGTCGGCGTGTTTCGCAGATCAGAGCGTGCGTTTAGAGGGAGTGACCGTGCGATTGTACGTCTAAATTATATAGTAAAAAAGCTGGCAGATGACGAAAGCGTGCTTTTGAGCGGAGCGTGCTTTTGTATGGCGTGCGTTTAGGCGGAGACTACTGTATGCGTGCATACTTTCAAGATTTTTGGCCGCCTCTATTTCTCCGAATGTTCAGGAAAATAAACTTGATCAAGAACTCTATTTCTCTGAACTGTTTCCGTTCTCGAGATTTGTTATATATTATATAATAAAATTGCGAATGGACTGGCCCGTGTGTGTGAGTCTGCATACGTGTGCGTGTGTGTGTGTCTGTGTAGGCGTAAGGTGTGAACGGGGCGTGGGGGGATTTTTTTTTTACACACATGAAGGATTTTACTTTTTGCTGGATGACTAAATGCAAAATAGGTTACTGCCAAGGTCGATCAGTCTTGTTTTCTCGCAGTACCTTTTCAAGGTATTTTCAAATGAAGTATAGCCCGGGAACGTTGCCCCAACCACAACTGAAGTATCTGAATATTTAGACATTCAAAAGTCTCTAGCTCTAGAAATTGTATTTGAAAAAATGGTCAGTCCTCGCAGAATGGCGGAATAAAAGATGACGGCTAAATCTTGCAAATAACCAAAATATCTCGATTCCGTTCGGAGAAATAGAGTTCAAGTTTATTTTCCCGAACATTCGGAGAAATAGTCACTTCGTCTTTAAAAATGAAATAATCCCCGCGGGAGCCTAGAAATATCGGCCAGTGCTCTGGGGCAAGTCACGAACGGTCACTCTTACAATTCACAAATTATTTTCTATCATTTTATTAGCCTACATGTAGGCCTAGGCCTACCCATTCTCAACACCCAGGTAGGCCTAATTTGAATAAAAATCCATTGCATTCTCAGAACAGGCGAGAATAATCCATGTAATCTCACCCTGGGTGAGAATAACAATATATAATGTTATTTTCACCCCGGGTGAGATTAAAATAAATATTTTTCTCACCCCGCGTGAGAATAATATTATATTCTATTATTTTTATTTTCACCTAACGACAGCCCATAGAGTAAAACTAGATCTTACTACATTCTGATTGACAACTTGTAGGTGTGTAGGCTACTACTGTGTAAGTACTAGTCGAAGATCTAGGCCTACTTTTTAAAACAAAGAACAACTTGTGTAAGAAAGTGGCTATTCTCACCCGCCCGGAAGTTCTCGCAAGATCAACTCCTCCCCTCTTCTTTCTCTCTCTGTCTCTTTCTGAATACTGTCTATCGGTGTGGACGATCAAATTGACCAAAACAAAGTTAAAAAATGATGTTAAAACACAAAAGTAAATACATTTGTTGTCTACAAAGATGCTACGGCTATTTAACTTTTCGAATCGAGCCGAACTACGCGGGTCGCCATTTTGTTTTGCCCGGAAATTCTCGCGCTACTCCTCTCTCTCTTTCTCTCTCTCTCTCCACTGCCCACAGACAAAATTGTACGCTTCTAGTAGGCTACAGTTGTAATGGAACGTTTGTTCATGGCACAGAATTCTACAATTTTTCCTCACAGTGTAGAATTCTATGGTTTAGGGTGAACGCAAAATTTGGTGAACGCGCACCGGGTGAGAATAGCCACAAGACTCGCCTGCACTATTCTCACTCCGGGTGAGAATAGAGGTGGCCCTTGTGTAAACAACAATCAGCTAAACAGTTTTCCAAATTCAGATCAGTCAATGAGACTAATGTCATTTCAATTTCAATTTTCACCAAAAACTTCCAGAAACTGAAAATTAGTTCATCAACAAGTGGAGAAAGACTGAAAAACCATCACAATTGCATGGAAAAGCCCAGGACAAATCGTAGAGATGCAAAACTAGAGCCCATATTATCAGACCATAGATTTGAAGGCCCTACCCTTAATTATGTCTCTAGACGTCACCCAGAGCCAGAGGGGTAAAAAGGGGAACTGGAAAGACGAAGAACAGAATAGTCTGAATAGTAATTTTGATATCCTTGAGAGGATTGTTGTGATTGTGACCCGGCGGTGAGACGGCAGAGAAGTCTCGTTTCGGGGCTTAAATACTGTTCCAATCAGTTGAACACAAGAAAATGAAAAAAATATAGCATAAACACCTTGTCTTCTTTTTTCTTTCGAAGTCGGTTAAACATTATGCTTCCTTTTCTCTGCAGCTTACAACACTTTTTAGGGTCTCTAATCCAGATCCTGAAGTCGGCAACAGATTCGAGTTGTTATGCGGAGGTCCACCCAACAGGAAGTGCAAGAGTTGCTTCGCTTTACGTTCTATATTCCTCCTTTTTCAGAAGAGTCAGCTGTTTCATGATCAATGTCACTGGTGAAGGGAAACATGCTCGCCTCTTCTGCTTTCAAGCTTTCGACAGTGATTCGGGTAAATTTGCTTGATTTCTCTCTTTTAGATATTTCTTTATGAATTGAGATTATTTCTGTACGCAATCGTGTAAAATTATTATCATCTAGTTCGTTGCTTCAGGTCAAAATTCAAGCCCATGACCTTCTCGCCGGTATGTCACTTTTTATCTGCTGCACTGAATTGTTGACTCGAATCGGGATTAATTAATTAGCCTTTCGTGGTTTATTATTTATTTGCCTAGATTTATATCTAGATTAGTTAAAGATTGAGAATCAATGCTATTCTTCTGTAGTAATTTAAGATGGCATGAGGGCTGGGCTAGATCTATCTCAGTTTCTGAAATTAGAAAAAGCTGAGACTGCATGCAGTCTAGAGACAAATTAAATTTACAGTTAGTTTTTTACTATTTTTAAAGGAAGTTTTGGATCTGTCATGGTTTGGTGGTTGGGAAGTTGTGATGAATCCTTTGACTTAGACTTAGAGCTTTTTAGTGCTCCTCTTATTCCTCATATAGATCTATATTAGTATTGTGTTCTTCACACAAGTAATCAGAAAAGGAGCATCAATCATTTTGCATTTTGATGGGCTGGCAAAATTTTAGATGGCATGGCATGGGACGACTGTAATCGAACCTTTATACACATTATAATTGTATGCGCATGTGTACAGTGGTCTGTCTGTAGGTAGTGCTGACACAGCTTTTACTCATCTAGTCTAGATCTAGTTCTGAACAATATATAAGGCCGTCTTTATTTGGACTCGAGTCCGAACATTTTTTCATATTCGGACTCAAGTCCGAATTTAAAAAACGAAGTGACTATTTCTCCGAACGTTCGGAGAAATAGTGCCGATCTTTATTTCTCCGAACGGTTTCCGGCTTCCGCTCTGGTCATGATTGTTTGCCTATTTGCGAGAGTTCGGCGCCAACCACAGAATTCTACACTTAGTGTAGAATTCTGTGGCGCCAACTTTCATTCCGTCATTCTGCGAGGTCTGGGAAGGAGCAAATCAATGGTGGTATCTGTTCTCAGCTTCTCCTCCGGCCGTGTGCCCACTGGTTTAGCGAGGCGGGTACTGCCTGAGGCACCCGAGAGACGGAGAAATCTGACCCTCTTTTCTATTGAGTGGACGGTTATCGTCCATTAAAAAAAAAAACGGAGCAAATTTTTGGGTTTAGATCTATTTCAATTTTCAAGAGCTAGATCTAGTCTAGAGATTTAACAAATAAGGGCGTGTGTCCACCTGTCCGAAGAAGATTGACCGTTTTAACCCTGAATGTGCGTAATTTGTAAAAAAAAGTACAGGATATTGCATGTAAATTATGGAATCACACACAGGGGGCCTGCCAGTGTCAGTACATGTAATTGGTTTTGGTGGAACGCTCTAACATAGCACATTTAAATCTATACAGGTATATATATATTTAGAATCTAATGAAGGTAGGAACATCAAATTAAATGACGTTACACAATACCTTTTGTAGAAACATCAAATTAAATGACGTTACACTATACAACCCCCCCCCCCCCCCCCCTTTTTCCCCAACAAAGAAAATTAATAGAAAAACAACACATCAAGAAAAAAAAAATACACACCAACAAAATATAACACCACAAAGAGGGAAAAATAAACGAAAAATAAAAGAGGAACAGCAATACAAATCGTATGTAACTGTAACGTATTCAACAAATCAACGTGGTGACAACAAGTGAGAAAGAGACGAAGTGAAGCTAAGTGAACTTTCTTTCAAAAGTAAAGAGGTTCATTTTCTTTTTTTTTTTGGTGACTTTTTCGGGGACCAAAAAATCGAGCCACGGTTGATTGGTCGCGGCCTCGACAAACGCAGATGCTAGCTCTATGTGTCGTTATCAATAACCCTCCATAGATCTAGATCTATTCAGCTCACGAGTGAACACAACACATTAAGTTTAAGAGCAGCACCCTCCATAGGCCACACGTCATATCTGTAGCGAAAAACTGTTTGGAACTGTAGCATTTCTTTATATAAATACGGACATTTTTTGGACCGATTGAACCATATTGTATACGTACAATCTTTGGTAGGCCTATAATATAATTATAGATCTATATTTTATTTTTATTATCCGAAATATGCGGGAAAGGGTGTGATTTCAGAGTGTTCGGAGAAATAGTGCCCAGCTTTATTTTCCCGAACGTTCGGAGAAATAGTGCCGGCCTTTAAAAAATTCATATTCGGACTTGAGTCCGAATAAGAAAAAATATTATTCGGACTCGGGTCCGGAAAAAAGGAAGTGTCTTCGTTCTATAGATCTAACGTTCAGTGCTTCCAATTTTCCGCCATTTTTTAGTTTCCCCCACACCTTATCTGCCGATCCGATGCCCGCCGCCTCATTCAACTCATTGATACGCCCCCCCCCCCCCCAACCCTCCATGTTTCCCACTTTCTTTGTTCTAGAAAAAGGTAAAATTGAAGATTAGCAGACCACCTGGCACTAAAAACTGTTGCAAACGAGATCTAGCTAGATCTTTTGCCTAGCTTTCCATCTCTAGATCTAAATCTAGATCTATCTGTTATTTTTGTGACTTTAGCAGGCACCCCCTATCTTACCCCCCCCCCCCCCTCCTTTTCTATCGGAGGAGATCTAGATCTAGTGGTGGTCGGCTAATGTTCAAAGAGGCCTAGGAAAACTAGATCTCTACCATTTGATCTATGCCGAGTTGCCTTTCCTGAAACAGTGTGGCAAATATGTAGCTTAATCTACCTCTGGTTGTCGGAAGTTCTGACAGCCGCATGGGCAGGGTGTTTGCGTCTGAAGTCATACAATTATTTTTATGAGTGTGGGAACGAACCCCAGTCCCCGAAGAGTTTTTTTTTTTTTTCTTTTGGTTTTTTTTTCCCTCCTCTTCTTCTCCTCCTCCCTAATGACCAACAATTGTTCCCCGTAATTATAATTTGTTGCTTTATTTTTTTAGGTAGTGATGAATCATGCACATTCTGGTTTTGTCCCCAAGAGGAGCTTTTACCAACAAAATATAATGACAGAATAGGCCTACTTTTCCTTTTACCAGTTTAGGCCTGGTTAAAGTTCAATAGGGATTTTCCTTGGTCTGTAAGTCGAATCATTTTTTATATTGTTATTTTAGCCCAGAGAGGCCAAATTTCAGCTCCTCAATTGCAAATTTTCTTCAGCTTCAGGGGCCCTCTTGCGGCCCCCCCAGACCCCTACCAATTATTATTAATATTCACCCTGGTTGGGAGTCCAGGGCCAAGCTGATTCCGAATATGAAATCAGTTTTGACGTACAGTAATTATTTTTTTTAAATTGTGTCCTGAGTTTAATTCTGTGCAGCGGCAAATTTCAAAATGAATCTTCGTCACAGCGCGTCTCCCTCAAATCTGAACGTGATTGCACAGAAAATATCAAGCCACGCTTGATTGCTCGACAGAGTCTCCTAACCATCATTCAATCGTCCAAATTTTGTACAGTCTTGTGGTTACACTTACCCCTAACGATCTAGATTCTATTGTATGATCACTAGATCGTCCAGTTTTTGTTCAATTTATCGTTAGGTGTAACCGGGCCTTTATCCAATCTATCGTCCAGTTTTCTTTCGATCGAGGAGATTCCTCGTCTTAAAGCCACCATGTCTCTTTGCGACGACAGCGATTTGCCTGTAGATAAATATCTACTCTACTCTATACAGTGGAACTCGGATTCAACGAGGTCGTTGGGCCTGACCTAAAATCTCGTTGAATCCGAGTGTTCGCTACAGCAAACACGAGGTTTTGTGTAGATAATTACATGCACTGAGCAAGTAAAGTATAAAGAGAAGTCACAAGTAGTGCCTGAAATGCCTGCATATTATGAACTGTGTAAAAAAAAAGACCGATTTGTTCAAATACACAAGCCTGTGTCATCTCGATTGTTTACCAAGAAAAAGTTGTGTTGCTGTGTAGAGCCGAGCATACGGCAACTTTTGATTCCATAGACTAGCGCATAATTCATTACATAGATCTACGTCAAGACTAGCTTATTATTGTAATAATGATCAGTTGCCGGGGGAAAAAAGACTGAAGCGTATGCGACGTTCAACGCCCGGACCGCTAGTGCCCCCCCCCCCCCTCCCCGACAAGCACGTACAGCCACACGTGTGCAGGCTGCCGATCCGATCCCGACACACGCTAACGAGCCATCTTTAATTGCTTCTGATGACCTCTTGACAAATAGACATTTATTAGAAACACTATAACTTTTCAGGCCGGCCTCAAATTCATCATAAGATAAACCCGAAGTGATCCCAGTCTATACCCAGACTGAGGCGAGTCACGAGTGAGGCAGGACAGGAAGCCGGAGTCAAGAGTCACAGGAAGTCAGAAGTGATGTCATGCTGGACAAGAATCAGAGTCCGAATAAAAAATTTTCATATTCGGACTCGAGTCCGAATAGTCACTTCGGCAATATAAACTAGATCTAGATCTAGATTTTCTAAGTCGAGATGGGCACTGCATTGTTGATAAAAAATTTAAGCCTCCTCTATTTATTTCTAATCTAGATCTAGTTCTTTGTTATGTTCAAAGCCAATTTAGATTTTCCCCCCTCTTTTTTTAAACGAAGTGACTATTTCTCCGAACGTTCAGAGAAATAGTGCCGATCTTTATTTCTCCTAACGGTTTCCGGCTTCAGGTCTCTTGATTTTTTGCCTATTTATTGCGAGAGTTTGGTGCCAACTTTCATTCTGCCTCTGTCCGAAGAAGATTGGCTGTTTTAACCCTAAATGTGCGTAATTTTTAAAAAAGTACAGGATATTACATGTAAATTATGGTATCACACACAAGGGGCCTGCCTGTGTCAGTACATGTAATCAGTTTTGGTGGAACGCTCTAACATAACAAATTTAAATCTATATATACATGTATATATATTCAGAATCTAATGAAGGTAGGAACATCCAATTAAATGACGTTACACTATACAACATCCCCCCCCCCCTTTCCCCAACAAAAAAGAACATGATAGAAAAACATCAGAACAATAACATGAAAAAAAAATTACACACCAACGAAATAAAACACCACAAGGAGGGAAAAATAAAAGAGGAACAGCAATACAAATCGTATGTAACTGTAATGTAAAAATTCAACAAATCAACATGTGACAACAAGTGAGAAAGAGACGAAGTGAAGCTAAGTGAACTTTCTTTCTAAAGTAAAGAGGTTCGGTTTCTTTCTTCTTTTCTTTTCTTTTCTTTTTTTTTTTCAATTTGACTTTCATTCCCCGATTCGTAGACCAAAAAATGCCAAAAAATCGAGCCATGATTAATTGGTCGCAGCCGCGACAAACGCAGATGCTAGTTCTATGTGTCATTATCAATAATCCTCCGTAGATCTAGATCTAGACAGCACACGAGTGAACAAAACACATTAAGTTTAAGAGCAGCACCCTTCATAGGCAACACATCATATCTGTAGCGAAAAACTGTTTGGAACTGTAGCATTTCTTTGTATAAATATTCACAGCTGACATTTTTTGGACCGATTTAACCATATTGTATACGAACAATCTTTGGTAGGCTTATAATATAATTATAGATCTATATATCCGAAATTTGCGGGAAAGGATATGATTTCAGAGTGTTCGGAGAAATAGTGCCCAGCTTTATTTTCCCAAACGTTTGGAGAAATAGTGCCGGCCTTTTTTAAATGGGATTTTTGCTTAGTCACTAGTAATTAATGTCAGATCGGCACAAGGAATCATATCATGTGTGTAAAATTGCAGTGTTTAGTTTGGCTCTAGTGCTCTGTCTATAGTGGCCACACAAGGAGGATGAATTCCAAATGATCATTCGGGGAGAATTTTTTAATAGAGTATGTATTTTATTTATGGACCCGTCTCATGCTCAGATTGTCTTGTTTTCTTGTTCATTTTTATCTCCTGCTCTACTACACTATTGACTTTATATTATATTCACCGCAAAAATATTAGTTTATGAACTATGGATATTTTTACATGAGAACTAGATCTGTTTTACAATAGAACGTACAATTGCGTAAATATTTCACTTGTTTTTATAACATGGTGGGTTTCAGGGGGAGGGGGAAACCCCTTTCTCCCCACGATCTAAAAAAGATTCTTGAAGGTTTCGGGGGTAGCAGTCTTCACACACCTTGATTACCCGTTTAGTTTTTACTCCTTTCTTAATTAAGAAGTCCTTCAGAGCAAAAGAAATCAACATCTTATGAATATTTTAACTTTCTGACTTGAATATAAACTAGACTAATTTGACACGGTACTTATGCTTTGAATGACTTTTCTCTCCTTCCATCAGGCAAATGGCCCAGTCAAAAACAAGACTCTAGCAGCACTCTATGTGTCTGCTCGCAACTATTCAAATGGAGGTAAGATGGTTTTAGTCCCTCATTTTCAATTGTGATGAGTAGTGTTTTAGGGATTATTTCTGTACTTGTGTGTTGGGGTTAATTTTGCCACTGTTTTGTATTTTATCTAAGCTTCTGTTTTGTCACAAATGTCATTTTCAATCAAATTTTGTTGTTACAATTTTAAGCTCCCTAGTCAATTGAAACTAAGCAACTCTTCTTCATATTTCTGAATTGCGATGCTGAATTTGTGCTTGTGCTTGAAAATGGAGTAGATATGAGATATATATATATATATATATATATATATATATATATAATATAAGTATTATTATAATTGTACATTTTGGGTTTTCTTTTCTTATCTTTACTTAGATGGAGGTGCATGGAGTTACTGAAAGTGAGTGATGGTTTAAGATTCGATTTGGTTTATCGGTAACATTCAATTTCTTTTTGTATTTTCTTGTCCTCTTCCAGGGGATGCAGATCTGGTGGTCATTGGATCCGGACCTGGAGGATATGTGGCGGCCATTAAGGCAGCTCAGCTTGGGCTTAAGGTACAGTTCTTGATAATGTCTTCTTTTTCTTCTTTTCCTCTTCCTCTTTTCCTCCTCCTCTTCCCCATCCTCCTTGTCACGTCTTTTCTCAGGTCAATAGTTTTAATAGAAGTTTTACGGCACTCGCAACTGCATAAGGTCATATGAGTGCCAGAAGATTAGAGGTGTTACAAGAAAGTAATGAACATAAAAAAGAAGAAGGGGAGATAAGGATGATAGATGCTTGATAGGAAAGAAGGAGCAAATCACACCAGAGCACCCGTCAACCACCCACCATTCAGGTAAATAGAGAATAGATTCTTTTGATTACAGAATACGGTCTAGCAGGCACACCACAAAAAAACAAAAAAAACACTCCTGGCGAATAGAATATCGTGTCACAAATTTTTTCTTATTTATATATTTTTTTGTATTCAAAACAGGCATGCGTAAAACAATTCATAAAAACAAAAAAATTGGCATTGGTGATGGTAAATCTAGTAAAAGGCAGCTGCAAATTATGTTTACCAAAGTAGTTGTAATGAGAAAGATTAAGGCCAGTGACCTCTAAAGTCAAGGGCAAAAGTGTAGGTCAAGGACGTGTAGGCAACATTTGTCACAGAAGTGTTTAATTTAGATTCTGCCCACACACTTTTTTAGTTGCATGTAGGGAGTCTGACCTTACAGGAAGGCACTTAAACTTGTTCAGTACTGTCTCCACATGTGTCAGCACTCTTGCTTTTCAACAGTGATTACACACTACACACATTTAGCCAGCGTTCTGCAAACTTAGTGGACCATGGTAAAGCAAAATGGTTGCTTTTAAGGACAAGCTGGGTAACCCAGATTTATGGGGTTTCATGAAATCTTGACCTACACCAAATGTGGGCATTGCCCTATCTATAGGCGAAGTTTGGTTTCGTTGATGTGTATATATTTGTTTGGTTATAGAGAAAACTCTCCTTGTCTTTTAAAGAAACTGAACAAGGCTTCAAAAACTTTACCTTTGATTTTCTTTAAACAGCATTTTTTTGGGATAGCCCCCTTGTGCTTAAAAGCAACCGAATAGCTGATCATTGAAAAATCAATGGAAAAAAAAATCTGCAAATTTAACTTATTCCATCCATGATTTTTTCTGGTTCTGGGCAGTTATTTTTCCCAGTTCAGTTTTTGACCTGGGGTGCATCTATTTAATGCATAACGATAAAGGCTCTACAAGTCCTTATAATCCATGGGGAATCAACACAAAATTGTAGAGATATCACCCTAGCACACATTTATGCAAGAATTTCACAAATTTAATTGAATATCTTTCACTGTGAAGGGCCTTCTTACCAGGCTCCATGTTGTTTACCCAAGCCTGCTCTACTCTGGCGTTGACCAGATGACAAGGACATGTAGTTACTTGAGGGAGGCATTGCGCTGCCAAGAGCGAAATGCTCGCAGCTGAAGGGATTTTAAATCAACAACAGCTACATGTTGTTTACCCTTACTTAGCGACAACAAAACAATAATTTTTGCAAGAATTTCGTGGAGTTTCAATCGATTGTGGTGCTCATAGATTGAGGTCTTGTTTGTTCACAAGTTCTACTTCCTTTTAACAACTTAAGAAGTAGGAACTATGTTAAAAAGTGCACGTTCGTTTCGGATTTCGTCGAGCCGCTCACGGCGACCAAATGGAGACGGTGGAAAAATCTAGAGCCACTGTCAGAGGCTGATTGGATGGAATCAGTTAAGAATTTTAAGATTTTAAATGCGTATTAACCCAGCATGGATGTCAATATGGCATAGGGGGCATAATTCATGTACATTTTTTGTCCAATTTGGTTTATTCCCTTAGTATAGCCTGAAATTCGTACAAAACAAAAAGATATCTGTGTCCTGCTGTTTGCTACATGGTAAGAATTTGTTTTGAGATGACTTTTTATTTTCATATTTTTTTGGGCACCACCCTTTAATGTTCTTTTCATTTATCTTGGCTGTAGTTCCCATTTTCCTGAAGAATGCATCCCTAGCCCTCCTCTATTCCTTAATTTGACGCACGTACATTTAATTTACCCATGTTTATTTCAGACTGTGTGCGTGGAAAAGAATGAAACCCTGGGAGGAACATGTCTAAATGTGGGCTGCATCCCTTCCAAGTCTCTGCTGAACAACTCTCACCTCTACCACATGGCACATGGCAAGGATCTTGTGAACCGCGGAATTGAATGTAAGTTGAGGAATGTGTCTTTTTTTTTCATGTCCGTTAACTATTGTTTAGTTTGGTTTTTCATGTCAATTAGCTGTTGTTTGATTTAGTTTTGTTGTTAGTTACTTGTTATTTGGTTTTGGTTTTCTTGTTAGTTTGCTGTTGTCAAATTTGGGGGGGGGGGGAGGTATTGTCAGCTGTTGTCGGTTTGTTTCCCCTTGTCAGTTAATTGTTGTTAGTTTGGTTTTTCTCTTCTATGTTAGCTGTTGTTTGGCTTGGTTTTTCCTTGTGTATCACATATAAGTGATAAATGGAACTGATATGGTTTTTAGCGAGCAAACCATCAATACCAATTTTTATACATTATGCAAGTCGCAGACTCAAGCTCTTTGACCCATTAAAAAGTTTGTCAAAACGCCTTTGCTGCCTCACCTTGTACAGTCTCTGGCTGGTAGACACAATTATTTATGAGACGGTTACAGTCCCACTATTCCTTCAACTCTGGGTTGTGATATACATGCTCTTCTTTACTGGGAAATAATTTTATTTACATGAATTCGTGGGATGTTTCCTTGAAATCAGGACTTTTTGTTTCTCCAGTCACTGGACTGAAACTGAACCTGGACAAGATGATGGAACAGAAGAGAGGTGCTGTCAAGGCTCTGACCGGAGGGATCGCACACTTGTTCAAGAAAAACAGTGTAAGACTCTTCAGGCTCTTTTTTAAAATGCATGATACTATTACTCCTCATATCCTCTGCCTCTTATTTCTTCCTCCTCCTACCTCTTCCCCCATCTCACATGTGGCAGATACTGACAAACTTCATATTGCTGACGATCAAAATGTCTTCTTCCATCCCGTTTTATCTCATCTCATGTTACCTATTATTGAAGGCTGAATGTAGTTGTTTGGGTGCCACCCAACCAAAGATAATAGTTTATTGATCTCCACAAAGACAGATTTGCTGTAGCATAGTTAATACCTTCGCACACTTGCTCTCCCTCTCACAGACACTCGCACACTGAACCTATAAATGTAATTCTCTTTTTTCAGGTCACACATTTACGCGGTTATGGTCGCGTGTCTGGACCTAATGAGGTCACAGTGACAAAAGAGGATGGCTCGCAGGAAAAAGTCAACACCAAGAACATCTTGCTGGCGGTCGGCTCTGAGGTCACACCTTTCCCTGGCATTGAGGTTAGTTCTCTGTTCGGACATTTGCTTTACAAACACTGTCAGTGCTGTGTGTGGGTGTTGGATTAAACACAGCTGATCTCATTTCTTTTCTTTCTTCTTTAAAAAAAATGTATCTTTTTTTTTTTTAGTAGTTTATTTTTTCTCCATTACTTTTATGGTTGGTTATTTAAATATAGGTTTTTTTACAGCATCCGAATAGAGAAACCAGTGGTGAACCATGATCACCGTTCTCTGTATGCTGCTGCTGAAATCATGCATTTGTTTGTATTTGGGCAATAAATAAAATTTAGGAAAATGAATGATTTAGAAATGGAAATCCCAGAATAAATCACGGCGCACCGGCAGTGGAATTTTAGTTGCCGCGGGGGGTTCTCCGCCGGGCGCCTTATCACGTCGGGGTCACGGGGGTCAGCTCCCTGTCGCTGCTCTGTCTGGGCCGACTTAATTTTTGGTACTTTTCAACGTACAATTTAAGGTGTATTCTTGTATTTATGGTAATTTTCATTTAGTGCACCCAAAGCACGCATTTCTGCTCTTGAGACTCAAAAAAGAATGGACGTTGTAACTTGTCTGGTTATTTCGTTAGACGCGCTGGAGTCGGCAATGCTAAATTGTAATTTTTTTGGGACTAGCGTGAATGAAAAAAAATCAATATAAAAAAAACGCATCGTCAAAATCTGTCGAACTTTTGGAATATGAACGACATAACATTAGCGCAGATACTCAGAAAAGATGGTATCTGCGCTTATTATAGAAGGCTGTAAGTTTGCAATTTTATCCATCGGGCACACAATTCGCTACGAAGTAATTCCTCCAAATACAACTTTATGTGTCTAATATAATCATGAATATTCGCATACTTTCTCGAAAGTTTATAAAAGTTACCATGAAGTTTCTCAAGGAAAAGTACAAATCGATTTTAGTGCTAGAATATATCTTCAACGTAGATCTAATACACGAACAGTATCTGTTACACTCCAGAAATTGCTTACTTTTCTTAAAACGCTAAGTCTAGGTTTTGTAAGTTGACTGAATAATAAGGATGACTTCTCGTAATTGGGTTATAAGAATAATTTCTAGCTTTCCAGGGACACTGAATCAGCACCAGACTTTTCAAGCTTTTTTTACGTTTCTATGACCATTTGCAATAACTGACAATGTGACTGATTTCTTTACATTCGTAATTGTGTCCGCGCATATTTCCTACACAAAAACTAAGAATGAATGTTTTAGCTGTCATTATTTTTATTCCATACTAGAAGTTTATCTCTACCCATGTATTTACACGGTTTTGTGGTTTTTTAAATCGCTTATATTATATCTTTTTAGTTGTATGCAGGCTGCCAGAGACACAGCATGATTCATGAACAAACGCAGAGTAACTTTCTCTTGTTTAATAGTAAAATAAGAGCTAACGCTGATCGTCTTTAGTTAAAATATGCAGATGTGCATCTTTCTTCTCTTATAACTTGACTATTACTACTACCGCAGATTTAAGATTTCTCATGGTAAAAGACATGATATTCGTAGTCAGTTTAACACAGAATTTGGAGAGATCTGTCGTGCCTTTTTTAAAATAATAATTTATTCATAACTTTGTAACTAAAATAGGACAAATTGGGTACTCTACAAACACTTGTCTAGAACAAAAACTAAGGCACAGAAACTAACCATTCTAACGCAAAATAAATCTCAAGACATTGAGCTTTTAGTACATCCGCGTAATGGTTTGCTGTGTGGGATGGGGAAGAAGTTATATCGTTTTAAACATAGTCAAAAATGCAAAATTCCATACCGACACCGGCAAAGTCGCCTCAGGGCTCATTAACCCCGTGACCCCGAGCCGGGGAGCTCCGGCGGGCTGCTGAGTCACGCAAACTAAAAGTAACAGAATCGGGCGAAAAGTGACGCCGTGAAATAGACATCTGGTTTGTCTCCCACTGCAGGTTGATGAGAAGTCGGTTGTCTCTTCCACTGGGGCTCTGTCACTGGAGAAGGTTCCGGAGAAGCTGGTGCTTATTGGTGCTGGCGTTATTGGCGTTGAACTGGTGAGTAGATTGATGCTGGCGTTATTGGCGTTGAACTGGTGAGTAGTTTGATGCTGGCGTTGTTGGTGTTGAACTGGTGAGTAGATTGGATTGATGCTAGCGTTATAGGCGTTGAATTTGTGAGTAGATTGATGCTGGCGTTACTGGCGTTGAACTGGTGAGTAGTTTGATGCTGGCGTTATAGGCGTTGAACTGGTGAGTAGATTGATGCTGGCGTTATTGGCGTTGAACTGGTGAGTAGTTCAATGCAGACACCATATGCATTGAACTGGTGAGAAGATTGGTACTGGCATTACAGACATTAACTGCTGAGAAGATTAGTGCTGGCGTCATAGGCGTTGAACTGGTGAGAAGATTGGTGCTAGAGTTATAGGCGTTGAACTGGTGAGTAGATAGGTGCTGGAATTATAGTGTCAATATTGTGTCAATATATATGTTGCTCTTTACTGAAATAAATAAACTATTGCAACATCTGTCAGATGAGGATATGTTACTCAAACACATAAACAATTATAGCAACAAAAAATGTGTTGTGAATCCCTGAGCGAATTTTACCTAGAAATAATTACATTTTCAAAAGCATCAGCTCTTGTATTGTTTCTCTGTGTGTACCTTGCAGGGCTCTGTGTGGCAGAGGCTGGGAGCTAATGTGACCTGTGTGGAGTTTCTCGGCCACGTCGGAGGTCTGGGCATCGACATGGAGGTCTCGCGTCAGTTCCAGCGATCTCTTTCCAAGCAGGGCATCAAGTTCAAGCTCAACACCAAGGTCACATCTGCACAGAAGTCGGGAGACAAAATCAGCGTCAGTGTGGAGAGTGTGAAGGATGGAAAGAAGGAGGAGGTGTGTTACTTTGTGAAAGCGATTACTACTCCTTTGTGGGCTTCTTGTCTCTGAGTCATTTTAATTTTTTTACACTCTTTCAGGGGGTAATTTTCATGGATTTAAATTCCGGAGTGACAGGTTCAAATGCTGATCTATTGTGTTTAGTATGGAATACTTTACTTTTCCGATCCAGCTGCCATTTGATTTCTAGCCCTTCGGCCTGTCGATATGACAAAGAATTTACAGGTTTTTATCAGCTTTGCTTTGTCGCTGTATAGAGTATTTCTGATGTCTGGGGAGGCAGGTAGGTAGGTGCTACACAGGTCACAAAGTGCAGGGCAGGTAAAGAGGTGGTGAGGTACTGTTTCATCCTGGCAGTCAGGTGGGATATCCTTGCGAATCCTATTTAGGTAGGAATTCAGTGGGATGTGTTGTGTTCCCAGGCTAAAGATCGTGACTTGCTCTCTTCTACTCGGGGAATTTAGTGCATCTTTTGAGTTGGGGGCTGTCATGTGTACAAATATTAGTATGGAATAAATTAAACGCTGTTGTTAAAGCTATACAAATTATCAACTTTAAAAAGAGATCATGTCACTAAGATTTTGTAGACAGGTGTGCCAGTACACACTTCACTTCAGTTCAATTCAAGTTGCACTTCACTATTAAATTTTGGAAGATACTTCACCTATTGTATCCACTCAAACTATTATCCAGTGTCTGATTTTCCTTTTAAGGAAAAGATGAATTTAAACTCGCTCTTGTCTTTGTTTATAAAGTCTTTGTGACTGGTATCTTTAGCCACCTGTCTTTTGGGATGCTGTGTTCCACTCAACCCAAGTCAGCTCTGACAGTGTAAGTCAAAGTAGCCAGCGTCCTAACTGATCTTAATTGTGTGGATGGGGACATAAAAACATTTAAAACTTTCATGTTATTCTCTAGCTTGAATGCGATACTCTCCTGGTGTGCATCGGACGCCGCCCTTTCACCCAAGACATAGGGCTGGAATCTGTGGGGCTTCAGCTGGACAACAAGGGCCGAGTGCCGGTCAACTCTCGCTTCCAGACCTCTGTTCCAAGGTGAGTTATCTGCACATTCACATACTGGCATATACAGTAGAACATGACTATAGCGGGATTTTACTGTTCTAGAAGAAATATCCTGGTGTAGGAAAGTTGCCGCTATAGGAAGGCGAAGGGGAATTACAGAAAAATTACCCACTGCACGTTCTCCTCTTCTTTTATTTTTACTGTCGTTTTGGCCTAACCTAAGCTATGGCACATCACTTATGGAGTAGCTCATGTAACACATCTCTCCGCACCATCTCTCTTTGCCGCCTGCCCCTCCTCACTCATCATTGGACTGGCCAATCACAACGCCGCACCGCTGACTGCCTGTTTGGAGCCCACCTACACCCCCAACCCCCTTCTCCCCAGATAGAGCTGGCTCAATCTCTCCCGCTGTATCCAAGTTCGGACCTTTCCTTTTCTTGTTAAACCCAAGCACAGGTAATTGTGTCAACATGGGAGAAAAAAGGGAACTCTGGTAAGGTCCCGCTGTAGGGATGGTCCCGCTGCAGCGGGTGCCGCTATAGTCATGTTCTACTGTACTCACTTGCTCATGAATGTGTGCCTATACTGGTATGTTGATATGAACAACAGTCAGTGCTCATAGAAAAATGCACACGCTGATACACTGACACATGACATAATGCTGTCCCAGTAGATAGTATCATCCAGTTTGTATTGGTATCATGTTAGTTAGGTAGAAGCATAAAGTGGGTTCTGTGCTCTGTTTTCTTCTCACTTATTGACTGATCTGTTCATTGTGTGAAGTTTAACAGATTTGTTCGGAATTGATGGATCCTCGCTGCATGCCTGTTGAATTTTTTTTGTTTGTATCTTATTTGATACAAGTAACTCAACAGACTCAAAAACCGTTAAACTGGTTATTTCTGTTTCAGCATCTACGCTATCGGAGACTGTGTTCAAGGACCTATGCTGGCTCACAAGGCAGAAGATGAAGGTGAGAAACCAGCTCTACAGTTCAGGGACTGTTTTTTTGGGGTGTTTTTTTCTTTGTTTTTTTTTTGTCCTGTTATTTCCATTATTTTCACTTGAAGAACAGTTTAACGTTTGTTTTCTGTTTAGTCCATATTTACTGTGTCTATTACCTGTCTTTTTGTTGACAAATGCAACTTGGCAAATTTTCAGTGTGATATATTCACAAAATCTCACTTGCTTCCCCGACGGTTGTACTTTTTGACTTTATGGCGTATTTCCCATCTAGGACGTAGTGTGTCCTATCTTTCAGGTGGCCACACTCTTTTTTTTAAAACTTGTCTCGCAACCCTTCTGTAAATTGCAACTTTACAGTCCATTGAATTGTATAATATGTTACAGTACACCCTTGCAGAGTTTGAAGACGGTATCTTGAAACATAACCAGAGGATTAGGAAAACAGATAGTGGAAGTGCCGGAAAAAAACAACCCCGCAATCTTGAAAAAAAAAAGCATATGAAAGTTAGGTATTTTGATAAAGACGAAGGACACAAGGTGCTTTTATGGCCTTACTGTGATACTTATGACATTGTATTTCATCATGATCGCCCACGCCAGTTGGCAAGGCACCGGATGATGATGATGATTTCAATTTCATCCTAAAATTATAGGAAATTGAAAATTTTAATGACAGAATATGCATACTTTCAAAAATCAATATATCTGAGCCAAAAACCAGTAAAAAAAACCAAACAGACTGCCCCTTTAAATTCAGTTTGATTCTGTTTCCCTCCCCCAGGTATCATCTGTGTGGAGGGCATCTGTGGTGGAGCTGTACACATTGACTACAACTGCGTCCCCTCCGTTATCTACACACACCCAGAGGTCGCCTGGGTCGGAAAGTCTGAGGAGCAGCTCAAGGAAGAGGTCAGTCGGCCAGATTGTCCGTTTGTCAGTTCATCTGTTAGTCAGTTCATCCATTTATCAGTTTGTCCATTCGTCCATTTGTCAATTTGTCTGTTTGTCAGTTTATCCGTTTGTTAGTTGGTGGTATTGTTGCACTGCTGTGGCTACCGATGGCTATGGTGTAGTAGTTGGCTGTTTGCTGTCTTGTGCAGAAAAGACAAGGTCAATTCCGAAGTGGGAAAGTTTTTTTATTCAAGTATCTCAGCTTGTCTTTTGGGATCCTGTGTCTCATTTAGCGTTGGTTGCCCTGACAGGTTGGGTCAAAGAAGCCTGCCTTCTAAATGATCTAAATTGTGTTGATGAAAAAGTAAAACATTGCGTCGGTGGCCTAGTGGTTAGGCTCTCGGACTCGCAACCGTAAGGTCATGGATCGAATCCCGTCAGGGGCCCGACGTTGTGTCCTTGGGAAAAGCACTTTGCACAAATTTTCCTCACTTCACCCAGGTGGAAATTGGTACCTGGCTATAGACAGTGAACGATCTTGTCAGTTTGATAGTGTTTGAGCGCGTGAAATCCGCAGCTTGCACTGTATGCTTCCGCGAAGCTGAAAATGTTTCTGAGTGTTCTCAGAGGGTCTGCTGGGGTAATGATTGTTGTAAAGCGCATAGAGCATGCTCTTGAGCATGGATATGCGCTATATAAATGCAATTATTATTATTATTAAAACAAATTAGTTTCCGCAGGGCGGCTTTCCTATTTTTTTTTTCTTCTTCCATTTTTGCCCTTGAATTCTTCCATATTTATATAGAATGTGTATTTTCTTCTTGATTTTTGCTTTGGAGAAAAGTTTGAGTTTGTCTCATCACAGTCGGTTTCATTATTCTGCCTTGTTTTGTTTTGGTTAAAGGAAACCAGTATGATACAAAAAATGTTTTGTTCTTCCTTCATATGTAGAAGTTAACGAGTTCGATTCCCAACTGGGGAAGTTGTTTTTTAAAATTTCCATATCTCTATCTGTCTTCAAGGATGTTGTTCCCCATTCAGCCCACATAGGGCCTGACAGGCTGTGTCAGTCAAGTCAAAACGTCACCCCAGTGACCTAAATTATGTTGATGGGGGAGTGAAACACTAACAGTTACCCTTTTTTATTTTCCCCGTCTGTGCAGGGTGTGGAGTACAAGGTGGGCACCTTCCCTCTGGCAGCCAACAGCCGGGCCAAGTGTAACGACGACGCTGACGGCATGGTCAAAGTTCTCTCGGACAAAACAACAGACCGCCTCCTGGGGGCTCACATCATTGCTTCTGTGAGTATTGAATGTTTTCCTATAAGCTTAGCCTCCAACCACTACCACAGTTCAGGGGGTAAAAAAACAAAAAAAACATTCAGTATAACACGGATAGGTTGAACTCAAAAGGTTCGAAAGCATGCATCCTTCTGCCCCTTTTTTTTCTTCATCTTTCTAAGATATCCCTTGAACTACCAATGTCGTCGGTTCCGACAAATGTGAGCTATCCGTGTTATACTGTATTAAATACATTTTTTTAGGGGGTATGAGTACCGGAGTCCTCTTTCATATTGGAAAACACATTTTCTGTGGTCTAGTTTTGCTCATAAATGGTCAGCGATGCTGACAGCACGCAGGAACACAACACTTGCTCGGGGGTCCTTGAAAAGTGCTGAGCGTGGGTCACTGAAATGTCCCAGCAGATTTGTGAATAATGAGATTGAAGTCCATCAGATGATAAGTGAGTGGGAAAGAACTTTTGCTGCAGGTCTATTTCAAATAGCTTGAATTTCTTGAATGCAGAAAAGTGTGTGATTTGTTAAGGGGTGGGGTGAGTGAAAGGGGGGGGTGGGGGGCTTTACAGTCGACTCTGCTTGTGTTGAACTCGCCAGAGTTGGTGTTTTCCTTGGGTCCAAGCACTTTTTTACTTCTTTAGAGGTCCCAATGGTTATGTTGAACTTTGGATGAGTTTATCTTTTTTTTTTTACTCCCGCGACGACATTAACTCATCCGTAGTCAACTGCTTGGTCAGTGCCCTCCATCTTGATCCGCCACATGAGTAGTCTTTTTTGTTGTTGTTATTGTTGTTTTTTTGGGAGGGGCGAGAAGTTGAAAAATTGGTAGCTATGTATAAGTGTTTGAGGGAGAGAGAGATAGAGGTCAGGATGGAGAGATAGTAAATGAGTGGGAGATGGGGAGTGGGGAGAAGAGAGAAAAACAAGGACGTTTTCTCTGACAGTTTATCCCCTGACTATCTTCTGGGGCTTATTTCGCTGCTTTTGTGATAGAAGATATGTTCAGATGAAAGGGGGGGGGGGGGGGGGGGGGGGCAAATCAATGGGATATATGAGGAAAATAAAATTGGATAAAGCGGAGGATGAATGCGCAGTCTAGATTTTTTTTCCCCTGCAGTCTTCAATATATGTTCTTAATTGTGTATTGACAGCTAGCCTGCTCAGGGAGTGTCAATTGACTTATGTGTCACGGCGCAGTGTCTATTTTTGGGCATGTGCCGTTATTGGCATCAGCTTAAAGCTTGTTCATTTGCCTTGCATTGGATTTAAAAATTACCAATATATCTCCAATAGAAGTGGAGATATTTGAGATTGAAGGAATTGGGGGTCACCAGGTTTCAGGGGTAAAATTGGCAAGAAAATGGCTGCCAAAGTTCGATGGCTGCCAAAGCTTGAGAGTCCACAGAAACTGAAAATCTGCAATTTTTGTGCCTTTGATCGTTTATCAGTAAAATCCACACAGAAATGTTTTTAAACGGACATAGAAGGTGTTGAGCCAAAAAACAAAAATTCGATAACAATTTTCAAACTGGCAGACAAATGCCAGTTTCTTTGATTTTAGTATTTTGATGAGCGTCTGATTTCACCATGGTGCCTCACATATTTAGTAAAAATCTGTTTTTTTCACTAGTGTGCCGGTGAGCTGATCAATGAAGCTGCCTTGGCCATGGAATACGGCGCATCATGTGAAGATATCGCCCGTGTCTGTCACGCTCATCCGGTAAGTCTCAACAGTTTAGACTTGTTTTCTTGCTGTCTATTTAGACCAATGCTTCCCAACCTGGGCAGTATCACCCACTAGTGAGCAATCTGGTAACTTTGGTAGGCTGTGGGGATCGTCCAGATAAGGAATAGGTATTTATTATTTTGTCCCGCGGTTGGAAATACATATGGATGGGAGGTATGAAAATAGCTATTTAAACGTGGCAAAAATGGGGGCTGGCAATACAAAGTTCGACAAACACTGATTTAGACTAAGAATAAACTACATAGAGAACTTGAACAGGTGGGTGTCACGAGAACAGACCAGGGTAATATCACTTTTTTTGAGAGCATCCAAAGAGAGAATGAATGGCAAACCATGATCGCCGAAGTCTGTTCCTGATCTGATACTAAGACGAATAAGACCAAAAATATACCTATTGTTGTGTGTGTTGTAGGTTTTTTTCTATTTCAATCCGTATGTTTGAAGTTTTTTGCTACAGTAGTGTCCGGCTAAACGCAGGCCATACAAAAGCAAGCTCCGCTCAAAAGCACGGTTTCATCATCTGACGGGTTTTTTACAATATAATTTAGACATACAAACGCACGGTCACTCCCTCTAAACGCACGCTCACTCCCTCTAAACGCACGCTCTGAAACACGCTGACAGGTAAAGCTTGACAAGGGAAAATTTTCACTAGGTCTACAACCTGTACAGCCTGCATAAGACAAGCCTAAGAAAGAGCGAGTGACAGCGTTTTCACATCCAACTTTCCACAGACACATAGATCTAGGTCTAGTCGGTGAAATGTTGGAAGGATTGGCGGGGACTGAAATGTTTTTTGATTGGTCACTGGAAATGTATCTTTGAGAGAAGGTTTCTAGCTGGTGACTGCTTGTAATGTTTAGTTAGATCTAGGCCTGATGCGCGATATGCGTCAATGCCATAAAACACCAGGTCTAGACAGGACAACAGATTAGACAAGCATAAGCGTAATCAGCTGCGCTCGAAGAACTTATAACGTACTTGTTCAACGAATCACAAGAGAAATGTCTCTCTGAATGTAGAGAATGATTCTGCATGAATTTACGGTCGGAGGTGGTCGCTTGGAAAGCCACCTGGCTTGGCTGTCGTCTGTATGACTATCGTCAACAGTTTCCTCCTACGCTATCTGTTCCCGAGGTTTATAGTGCATAATAATATCATTTATTACATTGAGTCTGTCTTTCACTGCCAAATGACCCCCTCCCTCCAAGGGAGGTCACTAGAGTTAATTTGCAAAGGTTCATGTAAACGCACGCTCTGTGTAAACACACGCTAAGGAGCCCTCCCGAGCACCGTGCGTTTAGGCGGAGACTACTGTAAAGAATTTGTTCTTGTATTGATTTTAGCCCCCCAGTCCTTTTCTTTGCTTTTTACTTTTCTTGAGTAAATGTTTTACGAAAGCTTTTTCTTTTTTATCCACAGACTGTTTCTGAGGCTTTCAGGGAGGCAAACTTGGCAGCTTACAGCGGCAAACCCATCAACTTCTAAAAATCTCACGCCTGTCACTTTTGTGATGTTTTGTTTCTGTTTAAGGATATATGTGTTGTTTATCTAGAGAATGGCCGGGTTGTCATGTGATGCACATTGTTGTTGTTATTGTTGTTGTGGTGGGGTATCTGGCTTGACTGTTTCCGTGTCTGTGTATTTATTTACTGCTTATTTATGTTTTGTAAGACGATCCGTATAATCTGATTCAATGTGGACGTTGTAGCAATGATGGTAAAATTGGCTAGTGTAATATATTTCTTTTACATTACAGTGTGAAGATTCTCATTCTTGTGGATTTAGAGAAAGAATGCAGAGTTTTTCTCTCACCTTTTGTTCACAGGGCAGAAAATGTTTTCGTTGTACGCCCCTGAACAGACTTGGAAGTTTCATGGTGATGATATTGAAAATAAAAAAATGTAATATCATGAGAAAAGTTTTTCTTTTGTGTTCAGTATCTCTGATGTGGGAAGTTCATACCTCAATAGAGGAAGGGAGCAACAATTATGCACGTTATGTTATGTACAGCAATTGGGCATAAAAGCTGGTCTGTTTGTTTTCTGTGATCATTTTTCTGTTGTCCCTTTTCTAGTATTGTGCTTTTCATGTCGATGAATGACCTGGCCCGGTGTGGATGGTTGGTGGGTGCTCAGCTGTTGTCTGCTCCTTCTAATAGTTATCACTTGGACATACCAATGGTGCCAACTAAATGTGCACAAAAATCCTGAACTTTTTCGGGCCGTGTAAAAATGCATATGGGAGGACTTGAATTTTACAGATCATATTATTTATTGCATCTTGTGTATCAAAGGCTGGTTTTATGTAAAGTAAAGTGCAATATGACATGCACAAAGAGATTAAAATATAAATAAATGTATAAGCAGGAATGTTTTACAACAGACAAGTAAATGTGTATTCACACTTCAGGCAAGTCCAGTCAAGTTTTAAAATCTTGAAAATCAGCACTTCTGACACACGACAGCAGTGTGGTGCTACAATTATTCTTCTCTTTCTCTCTCTCCTGGCTGAGCTAACACAAGTTTTGCCCTCTTGTCTCTCCAACTGACAGGTGGTTGACAGGTGCTACTGGTGGTAGTTCCTGTGTCTTTTCCTTCCCTCTGTTGTTTCAGTCTGTATTTCTCATTCCAGGCACTAAAGGACTGCTCTTGTGTAATTGTGCTAGTCTTTATTTTCAGTAAAACCTCCATAGCTGCATTCAGAGGTTGATGGGAAAAGATATGTAATGCCCTGTCTCCTTCGCCCTTCTTTGGTTTTATCTTGGGAGAGTGTTACCAAGTTTTGTTTAGCAATGCAGTTTTGGATCTGAAAACTTTTTCTTTATGCCATCCCCATTCAAAATGTTCCCATTTGTATTTGAGACAGGAAGTCTGAATGTAATTGTACCACAGTTGTGTGTACTTGGCAAGAGTCCGGACAGATGCGGTACAGTACACCCGTCGCTGCCTTTAATGTACGACTAGTGAAAAGCTGAAACCATGTTGTGTAAAAACTACACTTTGTCATTACAGTAATATAAGTATATATATATATATATATATATTTATATATATATATATATATATATTTATATATATATATATATATATATATATATATATATATATATATATAATTTCCTGGACATTAGAAGCTGTTGTTAAATATTTATTCAGTAAATTTCGTCAAGCAAAGAGAGAATGTGTTCTGAAGAGATCCCTGTGGCATGGATGTTTCTGTAAACATATTCTTTGGTTCGAAGCGAGACTGATTCATGAGAAAAAGTCTTACAGGTGACCAAGACTGGCAATTCTACTGTGTCTATTGTGTTATTTTATTACAAATTACAGTATGTGGTTTGCCATGTTGATTTTGAGTCTAGAGCGTGTTTGGGATATAAAGCCTTGCACAGATATTAAAAGAAAAGATTTTAATGTGTACCAGATTCTTTGGAAGCTTGCTTTGTTCTTTCCTGCTCAATAGAATATGCATCCTATTGTACAAGTTGGACATACTGGCTCCTGTTGTCTAAGTGAACTAAGTGCAATGGTAGAGCTCTTCACGGTCACTTTCAGTAGACAACAGTTTGATTACCAAGCGACACAATTTAGATCATTCAGGAGACGCGGGGGGGGGGTGTCTTGTGGCCTAGAGGAAGGTGTTCGCATCTCCCTCAAAGGTCCCGGGTCCCAAATCCGGGTGGCAACAGAAAGACTTTATTCTCTAAATTGTCTTCCTTCACCTCTTTTCCTGCTCTACTCTCTAGCAATGTTGTGTCATCTGCTTTCGTCTCCACTTTCTGCCCCTACCCCTTCACTTCCTTTATCCCCTCCTCTAGGCTCCTGACTCTTCTGCAGCCTTTCTACTGCTCCTTACTGCTGTCTTTCAGCCACACCCCTAATCTTATGGAAGGAAAGATCTACACCTAGCCTTCTCGGAAAAAGGCAAAAAACCTTGGATGTTTCGTGTGCAAGTTACGCACGTTAAAGATCCCTTGGTGGTATAAAATCGATAAGAGTAGGCTTCGGCTGCCACCCTGGCAAAAGTCAAAATTTCCTACCAACTGAAAAATGTTAATGTGTCCCACACTGCTCATGTAACCGTAAGCAGTTGCGAATGCCGTAAAACACTTATAAAAAAAAAGACTTGCGGGATACGAACCCACGTCTTCTGCATGCTACAGTGAACAGCCTCTCTTTTGTTACACTTTACACCACAGACACCCACGTGTGTTTGGAAGGACCAGACAAATCAGCCTTTTTTTGTATGTGTGTGTGTCATTGCGATTTAATGGTACCACTCTTTTTTTTTCATCATGATTGACCTGCGACAGAGTGGTGTGTGTGTACAGTAAATTCAAACCTAATTACCAACATGGAAATATAATAACACACAGAGGCAGCACAGTCCAAGATTACATTGTATTTAATTAAGGCTTTCATTATACTTTCAGTCCAGGTAAGACATGCACAAAAGGCAATCAAGTGTAATAATAATACATGTACATTTGCCAATATTTATTTCTGCCATTTGGCCCATCTCCGATTTATATAGGCTAAGTTTGTTGTGTAGAAGATCATAACATTAACATGGGGGTAGAGCCTGTCAGCACAGTCATACGCAATATTGCTCAAGTCAGGTTTCCAGTTATTGGTATGGTTGTTTAACAAAAACAGCACTTGCCTGTGAACTCTGTTGCTCGGGTTAAAAAAAAAAAAGGCTCTATAACTGAACTTCTAGTACACAAAACAAAAACCTTCCTGTAGCAAGGACATGAAACAAGTGACAGGCATTTTTACCACATCAATAAAGAACACTTTTGAAAACCTCCACCTTTTGGAACAAGGCATTGGGCCACATGCCCGAAGGCTATAGGATAAACAACAACCCTACCAGTAACTGGCAAAAAAAAAGAGACAGAGTGTTTTGAATGTGACAATTTAGATCATTAAGGAGGCAGGCGGGTTACCTCACCCACGCCTGCAGGGGTCAACATAGGCTGAGCGGGACACATCTTAGCAAATAGATGGAGATACTCCTCTAAAATAAAACTTCCGAATTCACGTCTTCTCTGCACCATAATGAAGAGACTTGTCGTTAAATCACAGACGCCGACCTAAAGGCAAAGACACAATTATAAATGCAATTTTTAATAAATTATACTCTGGGACATTTCACAATTTACACACAAAGTAATGAGTTGTGAAGCACAAAAAGTACCGTACATGTGCTTGATGTATTGAAAGGCAAGTAGTAAGTAATATCATTTAAAATAAATCTACAGACACAAAAAGTATTTTATTGTGCTTTTCATACATCTCAGACAAAGCACAGACCAACCAGGTCATGGGGACATTACCATGGGACACAACAAACAACTGAGACGAGAGCAGAATAACACTTAATCAAATAACCAAAGGCAAACCAATTCAGGCACAGAATAAAACAAAAAGACAAGATCATGGGGACAAACATAAAATGGACACTTCAGGAAAACAAATCCTGGTGTATGTGTATCATCACAAAAATTATGCATGTGTATACATGTAAAGTTGAACCTGCTCTAAAGACCACCTGTCCCAAGACAATCAACAGTTCAAATGCCCATTTTCTACATCCCCCCCCCCCCCATTTTTTTCTACACTAAATCTAATGACACCATCAAAGATAATGACACCTGGCTAAGAGATTACTACTTCTCTCATCTACAATGGGGGGTGGATGTTAATATATATATGTGAGGCAGCGTGGTGGAATCAGGCTCTCGTCGATTTTTGGGCATGTAGAATTATTGGTACCATCTTAAAGATTGTTCACTGGTCTTTATTTGGATGAAAAAAATATCCATTTTCTTAAATACAAATCGAGATATTTGCGAATGTAGGAGGTGGTGGTCACCTGTTTTCAGAGGTAAATTTAGTGAGAAAATGGACGCCAAAGATTAGTTATTTCCTTAGCTTAAGAGTCCGTGGCAACTGAAAATTTTAATTTATTGTACCTTTAATCAACGTTTTTCAGAAAAATCCACACAGAAATGAGTTCTTTAATGGGCATGAAAGGTGTTGAACCAAAAAACAAAATTTTGATAAAAATTCACAAACCTGCAGAAAAATGCAAGTTTCTTCACTTTGATTATTTTGACGAGAGCCTGATTCCACTACGCTGCCTCACATATGTATTCAGTCGATTCTGCTCTAAAGACCACCTGTTCAAGACAATCATCTGTACAAACAACCACTTTCCGCCTTTGCACTTTTTTCTACATTTTAATGACACCTGTCTGAGATAACCGCTTTTCTCTCCACAGTGGGTGGCCATCTTAGACAGCTTCAACTGCATATATACATATCTTTTTTCCCCTCCTGATCAACATCTTCGTAACTTCAAAGCATAGAATTATTATTCTTCCCCTTCACATCTCAATATGTACACACAGTAATTCTTCAATCACGGGACTGGGATAGAATGGAATGGAAACAAAAATAAAAAAAGGCTGGCTTTTTGTTTGTTAATAAAGAGATCAACCCTATCCCAATAATGGTCATCTCATGCTGGGAAAAAGTCAAAAAGAAAGACAAGACACTAAATAAAATAAAAGAAAAAAAAGACGGATATACCAGAGCCTGCTTCTAGCAAGTAATCCAAGTCATTACAAGAAAGTCACCTGAGCTATAGGTTTAAGACGGACATGAGATTACATAAACAGGCATGGACAGGTGTGTCCAAGTCGTGGGCTAGATAAAGGAATTCCAAATACAGTCACCTATGGGGATGAGTTGAAGTCTTCGGGGGGAGGGGGGGTGTAAAAGAAATCAACTTATCCAAAGTTCAACTTAACTGTTGGGACCTGTTAAGAAGAGGTGCTGGGACTCGATAAAAAGATAAACTTAACCAAAGATCAACTCAAGCAAGTTCACCCCAAGTGGAGTCCTCTGTATCTCGCTGGTCAAAGCAAGAGAAAATTGGGTGAAATCGGCTGAAATATGCAAGCTCTCAAAAGTGAGATTAAAACTAACACTATTTCATATGTCACTCAACCGCATTTTGTGAGGTAAAATATTAGATCTATTGCTTCCGTCTAGGCCAGAAACTATCAATTTTAATTTTCAAGACAAACAGTGTTGATTTTACAAATTGTCAACTCACTGCAGGTCACATTCATTACTAACTACAAGGTCAACTCGCGAGCTGGGCTGTAATGGCTCACCAGCCAGATTGGCCCACATGCCTTAGTTTGCCTACACCTAGAGTAGGAGGCAAGACACAATATCAGTCCCCCCATTCTGAGAACAAGCTCATGCCTTCTGAGAGCCGTGGTAAAGAGCATAACCACTACTCCGCAGACACCAGTCAGGGTATATATCTAAATAAAGCCACATATTTATGGCAACTGATTAATAACAGGTTGACCGCCCACTATATACTACATTTATAGTATGTAGTATATCAAATTTTGTCCCCTTAATATCTCAGAGGTAGGATACACAACACACATGAATGGACCCAAGACAACTTTGAAAGACTTTTTAGGACAACATGGAAGTAGCCTACACACTAGTAGCAGCCTAGCACACTATTCCAGAAGAAAAGGAATAAACACAGAAAGCTTGTTAGCTGTCCTTTCTCTTTTCAAGCCTTACAAAGTAGCCAAAGAAATTACTGGTCTAGCTGTCAGTTCAGGATAAAAAGTTCCAGTGATATCATACACAAAGTCAGCCTAGAATAATTTTGAGAAATCAGAACTATCTCCAGTTTCTCAGGTTGAAGTCTGAACAGATATTTTTAAAGCAATTTCTTGGGAATGAACAATAAATACAACAGGTCATATCTCATCATATTTGTTAGTAATCAAAGAGGGAATTGTGAACAGTGACTATTGGTTTTCAAGTAATGAAAAATCAGGAAAAACTGTGAGGACTGACTAAATAATGTTATTGAAGTAAGGAAAGAATTATGAAAAATTGTCAAGACCAACTATTCAAGGGTATTCAAAAAAGAAAAAAATTACAAACAAAAAACAAACAGCTCAAGCGTTCTAATAGCAAAATCTGAAAAAAAAAAAGAAGAAAGCAGAAAGAACACATCACAACAGAACACCCGCAACCACCCAAATCAAGGCACGGCTTATCCATGGGGATTTAATCAGCTTTTATCCAAGTTTGACTTTCCATGCTTGAAAGTGGGAATCGGATAAACTGCAGAGGAATCCGTCCAAGTCCACGTTCTATGTTTACACGTAACTTTTTTAAAACTCAGTTATCAACTCATTAAGATAGTGCTGATCACGTATGACCTGCAGTATTAAAACCCAGCAGGTTTTTTTAAAAGATTACGGTGAGAGAGGAAATGAAAGAGGGAAAGTCCATATCAACTAAGTAAGTTGCTCTGGGTTCGATTCGATTTATAATCTTCAAACAAAAGGATAGAACTAAAAAACAACAAAAAGTCACAACAATAGGTACATATGCCTTATTTTCCTTCTTCAAATGTTAGATCTGGAACAAGAATCATTTGAAAACACCTCCAAATTCTGCATCCTGAGGTGCAACTCAGAAATCAGAGTGTGCAGTCTCGGGCAGTTAAAAGCTACATGAGAAATCAGCATTGTACAATTATAAAACAGTCAATTTTTTCCATTTATCACAATATGGCACAGGATGGGATGGGTTGAGAAAGAAAACAAAGGAATTCAATGACTTATCACTCTTTTTCCTCCCCTCCCTCAAAAACATCAGATAAGATACCATCTAGAAAAGATTGATCCTAAATGAGACCCCCAAAAATACCTACAAAAATCAACTAAACTTCTGACGAAACTGAAAGCCAAAGACACCGATCTCTGAAATGGTGAAATGTTTTGAGTGTAATGCTTCTGTCAACACTATTAGGTTATTCAAGAGGTGGGACCTCAAAGTTTAATGTCCATCTCCGAAAGGACCGAGCCAAATGGGAATTTCGTGTAAAGTGCCTTCCCGAAGGACACAAAGTCAGATGGAGCTGAGGCTCGAACCCCCCAACCCGCAACCTCACAATTCCAAGTCTGGTAGCCTAAGCACAAGGTTACCAATGCCATCACCATTCCCTTTTTCTTAGAGAAAAGAGAAGCATGTCTACACATTAACAGTCATTTAGAGCTTCGCCATTCATTTCTTTGCTCCAGATACTAAAAAAAACAACAACTGGATTATTCCGGTCTTTTTACCATCACCCATTCTGTCACATAAAGAGTTATAATTCAGAGATGCTCAGAAATAACATAGGTCACTAAACTAAAACTTTTTTTCCTTTTCCATCTCATTTCTGAGTAAAAAAGTAATACACATACTGTCGGTTACCAATGAGTTGATGTCGTCGGAGGAGTGAAAAATAGATCAACTCATCCGTAGTTCAACTTAATCGCTGGGAACTGTAAAGAAGAAGATACATCGGGACCCAATAAAAAGATCAGCTTGATCAAAGATCAACTCAAGCAAGTTCAACACAAATGGAGTCGACTACATAAGTGTTTTCCTGCCTGCCAAGGCCAACTCAGGCAGAGAGTGAGAGGGATACAGTCCATGCCGGCTTCATGCACGGTCATCGGGAGAAAGCTTAAGCGTGCTTAAAGCCGAAGCGTGCTTAAGTGCGAAGTAGACATAATCCAGAGATTTTCATGTAGAAAATTTCTCGTGCTATTTCCCTTAGTTTGTAAGTAGGCCTATAGCGGTCCCACAAAAGTGTGCACTGTTATTTAGACACCCGCCATGGTAGTTTTTGTTCGCTTGTTTGTTTTTGTTTTGTGGTCGAATGGGAAATGAAAATTTAGACGGCCAGTCACGATACAGCACACTAGGCCTACTGTAACACACTGCCTGTGCATACCACTGCCCGCTGTGCCACTCATACCACCACCTTCATCCCACCTCGCGCGTGATACACAATCAGGATTAATGGGTAGCGAGGGTCAAAGGTGAAATCGCAGCCAGCCTCCCTTTCTCATCTCCCCGACTCTCTTTTTTTTTTTTGATCGTGTATAGCTTTGCCCTAGGCCTAGGCTAGATCCTACGTCTGTGCGAACGGCTTTGTGCATCTCTCTGCCTTCCTCTCCGGCCGTGCGAGTGTGTGTGTCCATCACTTACGTTCTTTGTGTTTCTCTTGACACACTCCACTGTTGCGATGTAAACTGTGTTCGAACTTCGATGGGTCATCATGAAAATATTGACTGCCTTGTAAATGAAGCGTGCTTGAAGCCGAAGTTACCGTGCTTATAGGCGTGTAATTTATATAGCAAAAATTCGGTAAGATCCGTTTAGCGTGCTTGAGTCCGAAACGTGCTTAAGGCCGGCGTGCTTATAGCCGGCACGGACTGTATAATATTAGCAAAGTCACACTGAGACATACAATAAAACAACTTTCCAATAAAAGAGCTGAACTGGATTTAACATACACATCTTTCGTGCAGAACAGCAAAGCACCTAGCGCCTAAATGGGATGCATGTTTTTATTAAGTTAGTATTAGTTTTAGTTAAAATATTACAACACTTGCAACACAATAAGGTCATGTAAGGGATAGGCCTACAGTTAGCAAAGTCAGACTGGGACATCCTATGAAACAACTTTCCCACAAAGGAACTGAACTGCATTGAACTTACACATCTTCTGTGCAAGACAGCAAAACACCCAGCGCCTACATAGGATGCATGTTGCAGTATAAGTTAGTTTCAGTTTTAGTAAGAGTTTTACGACACTTGCAACACAAAAAGGTCACATAAAAGTAGAAGTTTAAAGGTGTTACAAGAGATTAACAGACACTAAAAAGAAGGAGAGATAAAGACGATAGATGTTTGATAGGAAAGAAAGAGCAAACCACATTAAGAGTAGAGCACCCGCCAACCAACCACGCTAACTGCATTATATCAGTAGTGTGGCTACTTACGTAATAATATCATAAACGCCTACCGTTTTGAATTTAGATCTGCAGGAAGGCCAACATAAATAATATATAATGGATAAGGCTTTTGAGAGGTCCTCAGGTAGGAGCTTTATTACTGATATAGCACTCTGATCAAAGAGAGATATTGAGTTTGAGTAAAGAGAAGAGAAACATGGACACATTAATGGTCATTTAGTGCTGGGAAAGAGTATGAAAAATACAAAGAAACAACAGAGGGGTCAGAAAAGTGTAAGTTTGACCCACCAGTGATACCTTCCAATAGCATGAACATAACAGACACAGAGATACCGTAACCAGTACAACTACTGAATACAAGTATGTGAAGAGATGGAACAAATAGATCAGTCCAACTAAAGGGACAGAAGGAGGTACCATGTTGCTTTCACTTTAGGAAAAGCTGGCCACTAACAGGAGATGATATGAGAGAAGGTAGGGGCGATGAAAGATGACACCAAGCTGCAATCTTCCTTGTTTCCCTACAAGGAAGAACATCTTTATTTCACAGTAAACATTTTTCCAAATCCAATAACATTCATAGACTTGATCTGGTCACAAGTGTACTGTTAGTCCATTTTCATTTTCAGTCCTTAGTTCTGACAAGACAGTTTGCAGTAAAGATAGATATATATAAAATAAATTCCCTTTCTCTTCTCAAGAGACTGATAAAACAACTTTGCTTTCTTTTTAGGTCAAGTATTTTTTTTTTATGCCCTAGAATAAAAATATGATTTCAGATTCTAATTAAAAACTAATTTTGCAGTCTTGAACTGAGTGGACTGGACAGGACATTTCTAGTTTAACTTTTTTCACTCGACTCAATTGATCACGTGTCGTTATCATCATCATCTAATTCATTTTCTTGAGACAGAGTTTCACGCTCCAGTTTGTATCTGCTAAAGAAAGGATTCGTCTTTTTTGTCACAGAACTTGAGGAGTCGACTTCTGAGCTGTCCACATCACCGTGGCCAATTCCTAGAGCATTATTGTCCACGTCACTCTCTCTACGAGCGCCCAAAGGTGACTCTTGTCCAACAGATTCCTCACAGGTGGAACTATCACACCCATGTCCTGTGTTATATCTCACAGACTCAACATTTCCTTTCACCATGGAAGGAGGAGATGCGACATTCACTGAACCAGTATGATTGTAACTCTGAGGATCTGGTTCATTTTTGTAGGCATTCCCATCCCAATTTCGAATATACTCGAGCTTTTTGGGATCTGTGGGATGGTCAATGAATAAACTATCTGCCTGCTCCGAAGTCACCGGCACGTTTTGTTCATCAAAGGAGGGTGTTTGAGAGTGGCCTAAAGGAGCAACAGAAGAGGAAGAGTTGTGGGGGTTGGGTTGTGGGGTCACCCCAGAAAGGTCGGGGAGGCTGTCTATCTTCTTCTTCTGTTCCTGCATGTCGTACATACGCTGCAGTTGCAATGCTTCAGACTGCGGTTCCATCTGGTGCAGTAATGGGCCGGCCGTGGGCCCCACATTTCCCATGCCCGCACCGACAGGCTGATGATGAAGTCCTCTCTGATGGGGCGGCGGCACCATCGATTGAGACACATCACTGGGGGCAAAATGCTGGGGCGACGACGAAGACAACTGAGAGTTCGTTTGAGGAAACTTGCCAGACTGTTCCGTATGCACAGACTGAAACTGTTGAAACCTTTGCTGTTGAAGGCGCTCGACAGAATTGCCGTGAGGAGAGTAAGAGGATCCAGGCATTGGGGGGGAATATGGTAAGGATGAATGAGCCGAGCGATATGGCATAGAACGTTGAGACTGGAGCTGGGAAACATTGGAGGACTGGGGTGGGAGGCTCATGTGCAGAGGGGTGGGGGTGGACGATGTGGGCCCACAACTGACCACTCCCAGCTCACTCTCACAGCTCTGGTGCTGGTACAGCGAGTCCGTGGAGCTGATCTGCATGGAACTGGTAGGTCCCGAGGAATCCGTACTCACATCAGAATACTGTCTTCGGAGCTCTGCAGAAGTCAAACGTGACACTTTAATTTTAGTAAGAATTTTGCGACACTGGCAAAACATATACATTATATGAGTACCGAAAATAAGACATGTTACAACAGAGTAACAAACAAACAACAAAAAAAGGAGGATAGATTAGTATGATGGATGTTTAGTTAGTTCTAGAAAGGATTTACACTGCTCGCAACTGCATATGATAGATGTTTGACAGGAAAGAAGAAGCAAACCACATCAGAGTACCCGCCAATCACCAACTGACATTGTTTATTAGGTAACAGTGAAACATATCAACCAAGCAGCAAATAAACTATAACTGTATGATAGTGGTGTTTGAAGTCTCCACTCACATGATTTTCTACCCTACTTGTTAGGGCCAACTAGGGTTAAGTTCTAGTTCTAGTAAGAGTTTTATGGCACTTGCAACATTTGCAAACGTGACACTGTTTAGTTCTTGTAAGAGTTTTGCGGCACTTGCAACACAATAAGGTCATATAATAAGTGCCGAAGATTGGAGGTGTTACAAGAAAGTAACAAACACAAAAAAGGAGGGACATAAGGACAATAAACATTTGATAGGAAAGAAGGAGCAAACCACATCAGAGTACCCGCCAACCACCAACTGACATTGTTTGTTCAGTAACGGTGAAACATATCAACCAAGCAGCATATAAACTATAACTGTAGGCCTACGATTTTAATGTTTTAAATCCCTATTTACACAATTTTGAATCCTTGAGGTGGGCTGTTTCTCCCCTACTTGTTAGGGCCAACTCAGGCTGAGAGGGAAACAACATCCTGGCAGACAGACAAGAGATGCTCAATAAAAAAAAATTAATAAAAAAATAAAAAACCTGCCCATGTGGGAATCAAACTCACATCTTTTGCTTGCAACAGAGAAGAGCCTAGCCATTACACCACAGACCCCAGTGGAATGTCCATGAAATTGATGACATGGATACATATCCATGATATAGACAGCATATGACATGGATATATATCCGTGATATGGACTGCATATTCATGACATAGATACATATCCGTGATTTTAACTACACATCTGTGACATGGACTTATATACATGACACACACTAAATATCCATGAAATAGACAACATATCCATGACATACATTTGAAGACTGCTCAGGTCAAATGCCTTAAGACTGGAGTTTTCAAATTTTGTTCCATATGCGGATAACGAACTGCAATGATGATATTCATGAAAAAGACTACATCCATGACACGGACACATATCCATGATATAGACGACATATTCGTGACATAGACACATATCCATGATATAAACTTATACACTCGTGACATGGACAACATATCTATGACATAGACGACATATTCGTGACATAGATACATATCTATGATATAGACTTATACACTCGTGACAAGGACAACATATCCATGATGAGGACACATATCTGTGACATTGATTACAGATGAGTCGTCTTTGGAGAGTGTGGCTGAGAAAGACGGTTAAAAGTCTCGCTCAATAACAGGGCAGCATACAGTGGCCACTAACAATGTCATGTTCGTGAAATTGTACTGCGTTGTGTGACATCATGTACTACCATATCATCGGTGTTATTCTCTTAATGAGTAAGTTAATCAGAAAGGAATTTTTCAGGATAGACAGTAAAAAAGAACCAATTTTATCTTCTCATAGATGCCTTGATTGTTTACGACCGCATTACAAAATTTGAAATGCTAATTCTGCAGGTAAAAGATTAGTGATCCTCATGTTTATGACCGAGAATTCCCCTTCATGGGCAAATACTGCAAAACACTTAACTTTAAAAATTACAGACTTACGTGCTAAGAGAACTACAAAAACTATTTATGACATGAGGGAACTTGGTGATTTTTTAAAAGTTTACATTATTTTTAACATGCGATTGTAACATTACTTCTTTTCCTTTTTTTCTCCACCTGCTAAACCATTAACCATTGTGCCTTTGTTTAGGAACTTTTAAGATGCATAAGTTTGAGAGGGTGGCCCAAAAAAAGAAAACCCATCCATCCAGAGAAGTTACTCACCTCTTGAAACTTCACAGAACTTTTTGTAAAGCTCCTTCACACTCTCCAACAACTGAAACAGAACACAAAACATTTTTATACATCTTTTTTCATAAACTTTTTAAATATCACATGCATGTAAGTGGAGGAAAAAGAATTAAGTATAAATAAATACACAGCATTTACTCATAATCAACCAATCTAAGACAAAAGTAATAGCGGATCATATTTCCCCAGACCTAGTTTCCCTTGTCTGGCTGTGTGTACTAAAGGAGTTATTAAAGCCCAGAAATAGCCTGCTAGAAATGAAATAATGAAATACAAGGACTGGGCCCACCGAATAGATTGGAACTACATTAAAGATTGGGTTGGGTTTTTTTTCGAGGGGGGGGGGAGATCACAGGTGTTACAAGACAGTAAAAAAAAAAAAAGAAGGAGAAGAAATACAGATGTTTGATAGGAAAGAAGGAGCAACCCACAACAGAGACAATGTTTGTTTTGTTTTTGTAAGGTTTTACGACGCTCACAACTGCAAAGGTCATATGAGCGCCAAGGCGTGGATGTCAACAGAGAAGTCCAAACGGGGAATCAGGCTTACTCTGCTCACCTCTCTAGCCTCAACAGCACAAAGTCAGCTTCAACTATCAAGGCACCCCGTAAATAGCAGTTCACAGGAGAGTGACTAACTTTCAAAAGAAGAAGAGGAAAAATGACGACAGTAAGTTAGTTTTTAGTTTTAGTAGAGGTTTTACGGCGCTCGCAACTGCATAGGTCATATGAGCGCCAGAAGATTAGATGCGTTACAAGAGAGCAACAAACATAAAAAAGAATAAGGGGAGATAAGGACGATAGATGTTTGATAGGAAAGAAGAAGCAAACCACACCAGAGCACCCGCCAACCACCCACACAACGGTAAGGATGAGGAAAGAAAAAGCAAAGATTCAAGAAAAACAGACAGAAAAAGCACATGGAAACATTTAGTTAAACTCATAACATAAAAGTGTCACTTAGATTCGACAAACTTCTTTCAGTCAAACCTGATTTAACGGTCACCTGTCTCAGACAAACAACCACTTCCCACGTCCACTCCCCCTAATCAGGTGCATTTTTCAAAAATACTATGACACTGTCCAAGACGTCCACTAGTCAAAAACAATCATACTTCTTCTCGACAATGGGTGGCTGCCTCGGACAATTTCAACAGTATTTCCAGGTCTCATTACCTTCTCACTGGTTGGCCTGGCCTTCTTTATCTGGGCTGTACATTTTTTGGCCAATTTCATACAAGAGATGAAGAGTTCCGCTGACATGTCATTGGCCGCTCTCTTGTCCTGAAACTCAGCCTGCCATTCACCTTCATCATACTTGCTCTGGATGCAGTCTATCACATAGGCGGCCTGTGCAGAGTAAACACAAATGAAAAATTTTTTCAACATGAGCAGTAAAAATCTTAAACCAGGTTCATTGAGCAGATTAATCTGAACTCCATCAAAAGCCAGAAACAGACATTGCAATCATGGTTCCCTAAACATTTCTCTGTACAGATGCTCTTTAAAAAAAGCAAGTGGCTATTCTCCAACTTCTCCAGTGTTGCGCCACTGGTCAATTACTAATGAATTATTTGTCGGCACAGATTTCGAGATATGATAACTAGGCGTAGTAAGTCTACTGTCAAGAGATTCAGTCTTCTTCCATTATGTTTTATCTATGATAATTGTCTAACGTAACTTTATTCATTTGTTTGGGTCATCCATTTGCTTATTTTAAAAATGGGGGCTCTCATCTAGAGGTTAAGGTGTCTGCTTCTCATTCAATAGGTCTCAGGTTCGAATCCGGATAGTGACATGAAAATGTTTCATGTGTCCCACGCGCTCATATGACCATATGCAGTAAAACACTTACAATAAAAAAGAAAAAGTATTGCTACTTTGACTTTTCTCTTAAGTCAATTTAAATTTAATCGAAACATTAGTCTTAGGCCTATATATGGAAAGTGCTTCTAAGCCTTGTTGAGACATTCTTTAACAAAATCTGGTTTAACTTGTTGCTATCAACCTCCGGTATTTGTCCTATTTGTGTGTTCGTATTGCACTAGGCCTTGATCTAGAATGAAAATGTGACATGCCATTAGATGCTTTTGAATGGTTTTACAAGGTCTGACTGAATAGCCTAATAATCTCGTTAACTTGATGGGGGCTCTCGTGATTTAGAGGTTAAGGTGTTGGCCTCTTATTCAATTGGGCCCAAGTTCGAAAACGGATAGCGACGGAAAATGTTCTTCTCTAAAATGTTCACCTTTCACATCCTTTCCTGCTCTATAAAAATGTTCTGTCATCTTCTTTTATCTCCACTTTCTGCCCCCACCACCGCACCTCCTTGGCCCCCTGCTCTGGGCTCTTGACTCTTTCTTCAGCCTTTCTATTGCTACTCTTTGGCTCCTTTTTACAGCTGTCTTTCAGCCACACCCCTGATCTTATGGTAGGAAAGATCTACACCTAGATTCTCAGATGTTGTTGTTGTTGTTAACAATTCAGTAGCATCTGAACGTTAACTCTTCTGCATGATGCCATTCGGTAATAGTTTCATGTTTGTTCTAATTGTTGTCTTGAGGAGTAGAGGCAATTAGATGTGTGGGGTAGCTTGGGAAGAAAACATCCCCTTAAATCAGTTAGTTTTCTACAGAAGAACAGATGATGTTCCACTGTCTCTGAGGGGTAGTCACATAGTGGGCAGGCAGTAGACTGCTTTACTCCAATTCGGTTGAGATGTTGGTTGAGGGGTACATGTTGTGTTCTAAGTTGGAAGATTATGGATTGATCTCCCCCCCCTCAACTCATTGATTGGATCTTTGACCAGTGGTTTATTCATGTGGCCATACATCCTCCTTCCTGTTGTACCTGTGGCCCAATCATTCATCCACTCTTCCTTGAGGTTTGACTTGATCATTTGGCAGCAGGTGGTGTAATTCGTAGGAATTTCAGGCTGAGGGAGGCTAGCTCCTTTCTTTGCCAGAGCATCAGCTCTTTCATTTCCCGGTATCCCAGCGTGGGCAGGAATCCATTGTAAGACTACTCTGACGTGGTGCCTACTTATCAAATTATGTAGACTCCAAATCAAGTGCAATATATCTTTGTTCACATCAGTCCCACTCTCAAGTGTCTCTAGTGTTGAAAGGCTGTCTGTAAAGATAACGATGTCTGTGGTAGCAAGTGGGTTAGTGTCAAACAAGTAGTTGATGTAGTTTGCTGTGTTGGTGATAGCCTGTTGTTCGGCAATGAAATTGGAGCAGAAGGACCCGCTGGAATTAAAGACTTCTTTTTTTATCCCACTGGGCAAGTTGATCACTGACCCATATCCAGCGTTGATTGTTGCCTTAAAGGCAGATCCATCAGTGTATGAGTGGATCCATGTTGGTGGATAGGAATCAATTGTTTCAAGGGCAGAATGTTTTAGTGCCACAGGATATGTGTTTTTATTGCTCTTGTCCAAAAGTGTTTTCCTAATTTCTGGCTTTGCTATGGTGAGATGTGGTGGGAGAGTTGAGGGAACTCTTTCCAGAGGTTCTCGTCTTTCAGGGAGGTGATGTTTTTCTTGGAGATTGAGAACAGTGTCAAGTACAGATTTTGTATTTTTTAGTCTTTGATTAGGTTTCCACTTGTCAACAAGGATTCTATTAGGGTGGTTATTTTCTAGCCTTTTAAATCTTTCATATATTTCTAAAGCTGCCCGTTTTCTTCGAGTTTCTAATTGCTCAATATTTGAGTGGATTTCACAGGCCGCAGTCGGTGAGGGTCTCATTCCGCCAGAGATAAGACGAAGAGCTTGGTTTTGGATGGTGTCTATTGAGTTCTTTGTAGTTTTACTGCAAATGTTTTGTAGAACAAGATTATAATCAAAAACAGCTCTGGTATATCCTAAATAGAGGCCTCTCAAGGTGTTCTTGTCTGATCCCCAGTTGGTACTGGCTAGTCGTTTGATGAGATTAAGTCTCTTCATAGCCTTCTTCCTGAGGTTGTTGGTGGTACCATCTATTTTGAGAGGGATTTCTGCATTTGCAAGGTTATAGCTTCTCGTAAAAACAGAGTAGACAGTTTTTTCGCAATTTACTTTCATCTTCCATAAACGGCAATAGATTCCTAGGGAATTTAGATCATCTTGTAGTCTTCGTCTGCTTATTGTTGTCGAGTTTCCAGTGTGCCAAAGGACCAGGTCATCAGCAAAAAGGGCTTTTTCAGTTCTGAGAACACCTGAAACGTCATTGAGGAAGACAAGGAATAAAGTACAGCTGATAGAAGATCCCTGTGGGAGTCCTTCCTCCAGTACTGCTTTTGAAGATAAGGTTTCATCCATCTGGGTCTGGATGAGTCTATCTGTAAGGAATGATTTAATCCAGGAGTACATGTTTCCCTTGATTCATATGTTCTGCAGAGATTCTCAGATAAGGGTAAAAAATCTTGGAGGTCCCGAGTGAAAATTGCGCATTTTTAAGATCCCTTGAAGGTCCAAAAATTGACAAGAGTGGGCTTCGGCCGCCACCTGGACAAAATTCAAAATTTCCCACCAACTGAAAATGTTTAACATGTTCCGCGCGCTCATTTGACCGTAAGCAGTTGATAGCGCCATAAAACAAAACTCACCAAGAAGTGGCCTCCACCTCGATCAGGATCATAAGCCTTCAGGCCACTGAGCACCTCGAGGAAAACCTGTCAGAAAGACAAAAGTCAGGCTGATGTGTACTGCTGATGGAAATGTCAAAGAGATGTATAAGGTTTGTGTGCAGCAGTTCTGAGCATTGTCATTATTTATGTGTGTATGCCTGTGTGTTTGTGAGTGTGTGCGTGTGCATGTGCATTTACGTGTGTGTGTGTGTGTGTGTGTGGGTGTGTGTGTGTGAGTGTGTGTGTGTGTGTGTGTGTGTGTGTTTGTGTGTGCACGCGCGCACATCTTTTAAAAACAATGTAAATTTCCAATGTTGCGGCTTTTATATTTATAATATTTCCAGTGATTTTCTCAAATTTTGAGCCCCTGTTCGAACTTTTAACAATTTATTCACAGAAGGAAGGGAGAGCTGGGGTGGGATGAAGTGGAGAAAAAGGGCACTCACCACACCCATGGCAAAGATATCCGACTGGATGTTGATAGACAGCCTTCCACTGCCGATGACATCATGGGGCAGATAGGCCTGGGTCCCAAACTGTTTGGTCTTTGTGTCAGCTTTGGTGAAGTGGGTGAAACCTTTCGTGTCACCCCCAGAGTTTTTCGTAGCATAGGACGCCTGACCCAGGTCACCGATCTTTGCCTCACAATATTTGTCCAGCAAAATGTTTGCGCTGCAGGGATGGAGAAGATTTTTAAAACTCGGATAAAGTTTAAAATAAAGTTGGACCGCCCACCTCAATCTGTCTCCTTTTACAGGAGAAGATCGATTCCAAGTATTAAAATCGTGAATGTCTCTCCCATAATTTATTTACATGGTACAATGATTTGCACTGTATAAATCACTGAATCAAGGTATAAAACTTTTTTTAAAGGTTTGATTTGACCCTTTCCTGTTCACATTCTTCGCCAAAAATATTTGGCAATATTTGTTCAAACTCTCTGGGCACTGAGCAACCTGTCAGGTGTTCATATTCTTTCGTGCTTTAGTTATGGGACGCCAACTCTGACAAACTTTCTTCTCTAGAAATGAAATCAAGGCTTCAGTTTTAAGTGAGTGATCTATCGTTCTCTCAGCTGAGCTTGCCACTGAATAAATTCTGAGGGGGAGAAACAAGGAAAAAGTCGACCTCATTTAAGCCAGATAAGCTCTAGAGCTACAGATCTTTTCTAGAAAATTTCAGCCGCACTGAAGAGGAAAGGGTTGAAGAATATTCGTCTCCTCCTTAGCTTTTACAGTAGTTGGCCATTGGTTCTCGGACCTTCCTGCAATAAAACACTATGTCTCTTACCATTCTACCTGCCCGAGTCGTTTAGGTTCAAAGCCAGGTTTCTATGTCTGTTCCTATCTTCCATTCAGGTCTGCCCCTTCCTCTCCAGCCCTCTACTTTTGCTTCTTGCTTCCAGAATATGTTTCTCAAGTGAATCATGGGATCAAAGAGTCACTGCTAAAATAATAACCAGAAAGCAAGGACAATGCAAACAAAAGCAGATATGATACAAACCTCTTGATGTCTCCATGAATAAGCGGCTGTTTGCCAAACTTGTGCAGAAAGTTGAGTCCAGTTACTGCCCCAACAATGATGTTCATTCTGCGTTCCCAGCTCAGTGGATCTGTGCCGTCCTGAAACAAAAGAAAGTAGGTTTTTTTTTTAAAGATACATTTATTTGTTGTTTGTTTGTCTGTTTGAATAAAGAGAGGCAAATTGACATAATAATGAATCATTAACATTAAGTGCAGCAAAAAAATAGCAGCAAAGACAGAAACTACAGAGGGAAAGAAAAGAAGTCGACCTGCCAGTGGTGCCCTCAAACACCTACAAATTTAGTTTGATTTGACATCACTCTTACCGAAGAAATCAAGGACCACCATATTAGATATAACACCCGCGGAACATCTCATATTTCTTTTATTGTTTTTTTGCTTTTGAGTGTTGCAGGAAGTAATTGCAAGTGTTTTACGCTCACAACGACACAATTTAGATCATTTAAGGGGCGAGTTCCTTTGACTAGACCTTACCTGTCAGGGTCAACTCGAGCAGAAACGAAAACATTAACTCAGAAGAAAAAAGGGAGTTTTAGTTTTAGTAAGTGTTTTATGGCACTTGCAAGACAATAAGGTCATATAAGTGCCGAAGATTTAAAGTAGCTCCAAGAGAGTAACAAACGCAAAAAAGAAGGAGGGGAGATAATGACGATACACCAGAGCACCTGCAAACCACCCACAGAAAAAGGGGTGATACTTGACACAACAACAAAAATAATATAACCTCTGCACATGGGAGTCGAACTCACGTCTACAATGTGCGAAGGCAAAAAGCTTTAATGTTCCACTACATTACTGGTGTCGCTGAAAAACGACATCTGTTTAATAGTTTTACCCAGTGCACGCTCCAGAAAGTTCCATTAACTACTATCGGCCAGAATGACATACTCCGTGTTGTTCTGCTTACCCCCTTCCACCAGAATGACACAGTGTGTTGTTTTCACATTCCCTGATTAAATACACTTTTCTGGCCAAGGCTCTAAATCCATGTCTGTAATATTGGTTAAGATATACTCGCTTTCCAAACAGTTTGAATTCGCAATTTAAGTCACCCAGTGTTCTAATGCAATATCCAATGAAATATTGCCCCTTTTAACATATTGCAAAAGACTTGATTTCACGAACTTCTTGAAAAATAACAAATTTCAAGTCAAATTTTTTAAAAACCTAGTGGTGTGCATTGGCCAGTACCACTTCTCAACCCAGCCCAAGCCGATCTGATCTAATAATGCAGATCAAATGTGAGGCATCATGGTGAAATCAGGTGCTTGTCAAAATAATGAAATCAAAGGAATCAGCACTTTTATGGCCGCTGGGCAATTTAAAAAAACAATTTTGTCGGCTAAACAACTTTTATGTCCTTTGAAAAATACATTTTTACATGGGTTTTACTGAAAAACACTGATCAAAGGCACAAAAAAAGTAAATTTGCAGTTTCCCAGGACTCTCAAGCTTTGGAAATCAGCAAACTTTGGCGGCTGCTCTCTCACTCATTTTACCTCTGACATTAGGCGACCTCAACCTCTTTCAATTGCAAATATCTCAACTTCTATTCATAATAGAGGAGTAATTTTTTCACATCGAAAGCAAAATAGGTGAACAAGCTTTATGATGACGCCAATAACTCCACATGCCCAAAAATTGACAAGAGCCCAATTCCATCACGACGCCTCACAATGCCATTTGACAAATAAATAGGCAGCCATTCTTACTTTGAGTCCAAGCCTGTCCTCCAAGGATCCCATCTCCAGATACTGGTAGACCAGACAGAGATCAGGGCCATCCAGGGCATAGCCGTAGAGTGTCACAATGTTCTCATGTTGGTACCTGGTGAAACAAGGAGAAAAACACAACACATTTTAACTTAGTTTTAAGTTTTAATAAGAGTTTTACAGAACTTCCGATAAAATTGGGTTTTAATAAGTACCGAAGATAAGAGGTGTTACTGGAGAGTAACATACAAAGAAAATAGTTTAGTTTTAGTAGGCGTTTCATCGCACTTACAACACAAAGAGGTCACGGAAGTTCAAAAAATTAGAGGTTTTACTAGCGAGTAACATACAAAGGTCTGAGAAGCAACCTTTCAGCTACTAGAAGAGCCAAGAAGAAGAAGAAGAAATAACTTACTTGAGCAGTGTGGTCAACTCACTCCGCAACTGACTGCAGTTGTCTGTCGGCTTCTCTTCAGTCTGAGGGAAAACACAGCAAAATCAAGTGTCACCACAGAGTGTAAGACATAATAATAATAATAATAATAATAATAATAATAATAATAATAATAATAGTATTCCATGCATGTCCCTACTTGAAAGCAAGCTCTATGCGCTTTACACTATATAATTACCCAAGCAGACCATAGAACACTCAGAAACATTCTCAGCTTCCCGGGAAGCATACAGTGCAAGGAGCTGGTTAAGCACTCAAACACTAACAAACTGACAAGATCTTTCGCTGTCTATAGCTGGGTACCCATTCCCACCTGGTTGAAGTAAGGAAAATTCGTGTAAAGTGCCTTTCGCAAGGACACGTCGGACCCGCAGCTCAAACCCCCAAACCCGCAACCCCACGATTACAAGTCCGGTAGCCAAACAACTAGGCCACTGATACCACATCCCTCTTGACAGATCATTTTGGCTAAATAGGCACCGCCAAGCTATCCAAAAACCAAATAACACTACACCACACAACATCAAACTACACTACACTACACCATACTACACCATACCACACCACACCGAACCACACCACATCACACCACACCACACCACACATCACACCACCCAACACACAACAAACTGCACCACACGACATACCACCACCACACCACACTTAACCACATTCAAACACACTTGACCACACCAACCCACACCATGCACCACATCATACCACCATATCACATCACACCATACTACAACACACCAAACTGCACCACACGACATACCACCACCACACCACACTTAACCACCTTTAACTACACTTAACCACATTACAACACCCCACACCACACCTCACCACACCACCTCTCACCAACCAGTTACCAGTTACCTAAACTAAGCTTCTTGCTTCTTTAAGAAACAGTACATTCCACCACCTGCCCAAGAAAATCACACATACAAACGACCACTTCTCACTTTCTCCCTTGCATTTTTTCTATATTATAAAGATACTGTCCTTTTCTCCTTGACAATAGGTGGCCGTCTTGGGCATTTTCCACAGTATTTCAAAACTGTTACAACCCAGTTTGCATTTGAAATTCAAATACTTTATTGTGTCTTAAATAGCAGTACATAACTCTGTTACTTTCAGATTCCCCACTCCCCTCTCTCTCTCTCCCCCTCTCTCTTTCTCTATCTCTCTGAGTTTTCTTTTTTTCTCTCTTACCTTTTTCAGTATTTTGACGGCACAGTCCAGATGCCTCAAGTGTCCCCGATACACAGTCCCAAACGCTCCTTCTCCGAGCAGATTCTTCTCGCTGAATCCCCCGGTAGCCTGGACCAAATCGCTGTGGGAGAATGTCGTCTTAACAGACAGGGCAAAGTCTGCCTCGCTGGAGCTGCTGGTGGTGGACACGGTACTGTCTGCTCTCTGAGGCCGACCGCTGTCCGACATGAAGGCACTGTCCAGTCTCTGGGACTGACTGGCGCCCGTAAAGACGCTGTCCAGTCTTTGTGAGTGACTGCTGGAGGTAGAGATGGTGTGGTCAAGCCTCTGGGACTGACTGCTACCACCACCACTACCGCTGGCACTAGAAGACTGGCTCTCCTCTCTCAGCAGCTGTTGAATTTTCTCCACTCCGCTACTGGGCATTGAGACAGAGCCCCCTACAGGATGAAACAATAGGTATTTTGGCTTTAGAAAGAGTTTTACGGCACTCGCAACACAAAGAGGTCGTATAAGTGCTGAAGATTAGAGGTCTTACAAAACAGCAACCTACGAAGAAAAAAAGAGGAAAATTATGAAAACAGATCGGAGAGGGGGGGGGTGGGGAGAGAGAGAGAGAGAGAGAGAGAGAGAGAGAGAGAGAGAGAGAGAGAGAGAGAGAGAGAGAGAGAGAGAGAGCAAACATGAGAGTGAGAAAGAGATAAAAGATTAACAGTACTCACCACTACTCCCCTGCATCTCCGGCACATGGAAGGTGGAAGCAAGGGACGGGCGGCTACTGTCGGAGAGGTGGTCAGAAGTCTCAGACGGAGGTCCCAGCCTCTGTGGCAACTCCATGGGCATAGCGTACTGTGAGTCATTGGACCCACTGTGGTACCCGCCCTGTGCACAAACACATTCACTGATTTTATCTTTAGTTTTAGTCAGAGCTTAAGTTTTGGGTTTAGTTTTAGTAGAGGTTTTACGGCACTCGAAGATTAGAGGTGTTACAAGAGAGTAACAAACATAAAAAATAAGGGGAGATAAGGACGATAGATGTTTGAAAGGAAAGAAGGAGCAAACCACACCAGAGCACCCGCCAACCACCCACTTTAAGTTTTAATAAGATAAGAGTTTTACTGTACTTGCAACACAACGAGGTTATATAAGTGCCGAAGGAAGCATGTGTTATAAGAGCGTAACATACACAAAAAAAGAAGGAATAGAGATAAGGATAATAGAAGTTTGATAGCAACCACCACTTAGAAAGCGTTTTACCGCCCTAGAAACGCAATAAGATCATTAAGTGCTTGTTTTTGATTGTTAGAGTAAAGAGAAGCACATCGACACAAAAACGGTCAGTTAGTGCTGGGAAAATGTAAGACAGACAAACAGAAACAACAAAGGGAAAGTAAAGATGTAGGACCTACCAGTGGCACCCTCCATCATATACATGCCAAAGAGAGATAAGGACGATACACGTTTGATCAGAAAGAAGGAGCAAACCACACCAGAAAACCTGCCAACCACCCACGCATGTATTGATTTGTTTGTTTGTTTAAGTTATGAAAAGCACATTGAAACAATTATGATACTTCAGTGCAGTCAAAAGGTATTATTTGGTACAGACAAAGAGTCTACATAACAAGAGGGGCCACTTCTCTCTTTGAGCCAATTAAAAAAGTGTCCTCAAAATTCGGTGGCGCCCTCTTCGCAAAAGCGCACCTTTTGCGAACAGAGTTCCTTACTTGAGTTTTTAAAAATCAAAGTGAAACTAGAAAGTTTTTGAATAAATTTCGGAAGAATGCTTTTTTAAAAAGGTTACGCTGACAAAAAACCTCTTCCAGAGGAAAGGGTGGTTGTTTTCTTTGTTTAATTTGACTTTAGAATGAAAGGCTAGAGGTCATTAAAATAAAAAAACACCTAAAACTCCACACTGAACGAACCCGAACTGCTGATGAACAGCAGTCCATCTGCGCATGCAAAGAGGTGCTATTCCTATTCTTCTTCTGGAAAAATGAAAGAGAGCTTCAAAACAGACTGCAGCGCCATCTGAAGCAAAGAGCGAACTTCCGGCGGACACTTTTTTGGCTGAGTGGCCCATCTTGTTATGTACTATCTTTGGTACAGATAAAAAGTAAGACTAACAAACAGAAACAAAAGAGGGATAGTAAAAAAAAGAAACAATAAATAAATAATAATAATAATAATAATAATAATAATAGTAATAACAACAATAACAATAATAATATAATTTTTTAAAAATATAATAATAATAATCATCATCATCATCATCAACATAATAATAATAATAATAATAATAATAATGATAATAATAATGATAATAATAATAATAATCATCATCATCATCATCATCATCATAACCATAATAACAATAATAATCTCAACAACGAAAATAATAAAGGAGATAGACTCAAACACAACATGCGCGTCATGAGGCCACTACAGAAGCAACCCTCACCACAGCTCCATTGGATGACCCGCTGACCAGAGCGAGTGCGTGAGGTTCTGTGCCAGGTATGACCTTGTCATCGTACTGCTTTCTCATCCCAGTGTTGACCGCAGCAGCTTTGTCCATCCCAGACATGTGGTTGAAGTTGTTGGCACTTCCCGGCGGGCCAAACCCTTTCCCTGACTGGGGATCTGGGGACAGATTTTTAAATCATCTTTTCATAATCTAAGACGAGATGAGAGGAACATTTTTCTTTTTTTTAAAAATAATTTTTCATAATGTTTAAAAATAAACAGAATAAAAGTTTTAAAAAAGAAACGTCTGATTTAAACAATAGGAATGGACATAAAAGATCATCCCACAATATGGTTGGAGTATAACACCTTCTTTATATCCCCTAAAGGATTTAGTGTAGTTTTAGTATGAGTTTTATGGCACATGCAATACATATATGTCATATAGGTGCCAAACATTAATTAACAATAATAATGATGATGATGATGACGATGATGATGATGATGTGATGATGATGATGATGATAATATTATGGGAATTTATATAGTGCTTAATCCCTAGAAGACTGTAAGTACAGTACAATGCAGAATTATCGCTCAAAGATGATTAGAGAGTAACATTAAAAAATAGAAGGAGCAGAGGTAAGGACAACAGATGTTTGACAAGAAAGATGAGCAAACCACACGAGGGACCCGTCGATTATCCAAAAGGTACAACAAATGTGTGTGAGTGCCAGGAGAAAGGTCCCAGCTGTCGGAAATTTTGGATTTTAAAATAAGAGCATATTATTCTTGTAGCAAATTCAATGCTGAACACACTGATGTTTAAATTTTTCAAATACAGTCAAACCTGCTCTGACGGCCACCTCTATAAGACAGCCACCTGTACAAACGGCCACTTTCCATTTCCCCCTTTGCGTTTTTTCTATAAAATTTAACTGTGTAAAACGGGCACCAGTCCAACGCGGCCGCGGCCACCATATTTCAACACACAACCCCTATCACACTAAGCAATAACACCTTTTTAGACTGCCACCTTAGTGACTCCATTACGTTTTGTCATAAAATATTGTGCATTGGCCCCTGGCGTTGCGGGCGAGCCGTCATAATCCAATCCCTTGTCGTTGTTGTTAAGTAGTCCCTCCAACCGATCATGTTGTGTAGGCCCCTCCCACTGTTGACCAATAGGTACCAATTTTCAGCTGCTGGTGAGGTAAGCATGTGATCCCTCATAACCCGTAAGACCCTCTCAGAACTCATACACAAATCGTAAGTGGGATGAGTGGTCACTGTTTACCCAGTCTGTGACAAAGTAACAAAGGACGTCAACATGAACTTGCGACAAAAGCGTCTTTCGTTCTCTGAGTGGTGGCGACCTATGTGTTTGTTTTAATATGGCACTGGGTCTTCCTCGTCTGATACATTTCGTTTTATTGTCACACTTGCGCAAAATCAGCAACCAAATAAAAATAACAAACAAAATACAAACCAACAACAACAAAAACAAGAACAATGCGGCTATTTTTTATTGGGACTTCAGATGGGAATGATTTGTTTTCTTCATCTTGATCAGTCCTGCCTAAGACGGCCACCTGCCTGATACGGCCACTTTTCTCCTTGACAATGGGGGGCCATCTTACACAGGTTTGACTGTATCTTGACCACTTCTGAAGATATGCCACATTTTGTAACACAGGGTGTAAAAACATAGTGTGGCAAAAAAAAACAACCAGTATCTAGCTCATTTTTAACCTTTGGTGAAATGCAAAAATAACTAATAAAAAAATATATTTAAAATGAAAATATTATAAAATCCTTTCAATATGTTATTAAGAAATGGATAAATATGTGTTTTCTGATGGAACTAAATTTTCGACCAGGTGCGACTTTTTTGGCCTTTTCCCACCATTGCTCACAGCTAGCTTTGCTGACAACTGGGACCTTTCTCCAGGCACGCGAACACAAATAGGACAGAACAACTAGCCAACATACCCTGCATGCTGAGATAGGGGAAGATGCTCTGCATGTCTGTCCCAGGTCCAGAGCCTGAATGTCTGGGCAAGGAAGAGAACCCACAAGCTGAGGCAGAAGGCAAAGACTTCTTCTCTTCTGTGGCCACTGAAACATAATAATAATTAATAAAATAACTGCATTTATATAGCTCATATCCACACTCTACAGCATGCTCTATGTGCTTTATTAATAATAATAATAATAATAAATTGCATTTGTATAGCGCATGTCCCCACTCGAAAGCAAGTTCTACGCGCTTTACACTATATTATTACCCCAGCAGGCCATAGAACACTCAGAAATATTCTCAGCTTCCCAGGAAGCATACAGTAAAAGCTACAGATTGTACATGCTCAAACACTAACAAACTGACAAGATCTTTTGCTGTCTGTAGTCACATACCTATTTCCCATCTGGGTGAATAAGGAAAATTCGTGCAAAGTGCCTTTCTCAAGGACATAATGTAGAACCCCTGATGGGATTCAAACCTATGACCTTATGGTTGCGAGTCCAAGAGCTTTTAAACCACTAGGCCACTCACGAGAGGAAAAAGAAATTTGAACAGATACACTAAAAAATATCTGTGATCCCTACAGACACAAACAAAAACCAAAAAATAACTACAAATGTATTTCATAAACGGAGTTTGTTTGAGTACTGAGAAACATATCGGAAACAATGACGGTAATTTTATACAGGAGTGGGGGGGGGGGGGAGAGACAAAGAACTGCTTTGGAAATACAACTTCCATTGGTTCCCTGCCCAGAACACACCAGAAAAGCTTTAAACTTAAATAGAGCAAAGCTGAGTGGGTCCAATACATAAATATCCTCAAATTTAAAAAAGCTTATGTTCGCAGATTTGCTTACTTGCCTTAATCACACAAAACTACAAATAGAATATTATCGGTCTTCAAGTATCACCAAAATAATTGGTGTAAGGTAGACCGTCCTTACCCCATTGGAGAGTAAAATGCAAACTGTATCACAAATCAGATTCGCCCATTAAAATTGTCTTTTAATGTAAACAGACAGTAAAATCTCTACCATTTGCCAAAACTGAGAACTGGCATATATACATACCCTACACTACCCTATTCTAAAATTAAACTGTAAAATGACAATATTTTAATTTTTGTTAAACTCACACATTTTAACACCTGCACAGGTTTAACTCTACCGGAAACATATCAACAAGTTTATTTTCTTCTTGTTAATCTTATAAGCACAGGCACTGCTCTTCCAGAACACAACTCTCAAATCATAAACTGTCAGTCCCCTCTGCTCGCCCAGCTCAGCGACACTCTGTTTATATAATAAAGCTCAACAAAGCCACCCAAACAGGATACAGGTGAAGCCAAATTAATCAGGAAGTCCTTAATCCTTTTTCTCTCAAAACACTGACCTACTTTTCACAGACTCAGCCAATCACTGACTGGTAACTTATCCTTCTTTTACACAACAACTCACACTTGAGGAAGGAGGTATGCAAAGTGTTTCTCCATGTAGTGACATTTCAGTGCAGACAATACAGATTATTTGGGGGGGGGGGGG